GAAAGAGGTGCATCACTCCGAAATCGGACTGTATTTACCCGAGATATTTCAATTCGAAATTCCTTGAACGGCCATATCTCGGCCAAATAAAGCCCAATCTTGGCCAGATTGGGAGGGTTAAGTCGCGGACGGCCATAGAATAGAACGGCATCAAAGTTTTCCGAATTTCGAAAAATGTCATTTTTAGCAAAAAACGTGATGTAACCACTGCATTTTTGGTCATTTTGGGTCATCTCTTAGAATGTGGTTTTTTGGATGGCAATCGATAGTCGGGGTCCGTACGAGCAGAAAGAGGTGCATCACTCCGAAATCGGACTGTATTACCCGAGATATTTCAGTTTGAAAATTTTCGGAAAACTTTGAATGGCCATATCTCGGCCAAATAAAGCCCAATCTTGGCCAGATTGGGAGGGTTAAGTCGCGGACGGCCATAGAATAGAACGGCATAAAAGTTTTCCGAATTTCAAAAAATGTCATTTTTAGCAAAAAACGTGATGTAACCACTGCATTTTTGGTCATTTTGGGTCATCTCTTAGAATGTGGATTTTTGGATGGCAATCGATAGTCGGGGTCCGTACGAGCAGAAAGAGGTGCATCACTCCGAAATCGGACTGTATTACCCGAGATATTTCAGTTTGAAAATTTTCAGAAAACTTTGAATGGCCATATCTCGGCCAAATAAAGCCCAATCTTGGCCAGATTGGGAGGGTTAAGTCGCGGACGGCCATAGAATAGAACGGCATCAAAGTTTTCCGAATTTCGAAAAATGTCATTTTTAGCAAAAAACGTGATGTAACCACTGCATTTTTGGTCATTTTGGGACATCTCTTAGAATGTGGATTTTTGGATGGCAATCGATAGTCGGGGTCCGTACGAGCAGAAAGAGGTGCATCACTCCGAAATCGGACTGTATTTACCCGAGATATTTCAATTCGAAATTCCTTGAACGGCCATATCTCGGCCAAATAAAGCCCAATCTTGGCCAGATTGGGAGGGTTAAGTCGCGGACGGCCATAGAATAGAACTGCATCAAAGTTTTCCGAATTTCGAAAAATGTCATTTTTAGCAAAAAACGTGATGTAACCACTGCATTTTTGGTCATTTTGGGACATCTCTTAGAGTGTGGATTTTTGGATGGCAATCGATAGTCGGGGTCCGTACGAGCAGAAAGAGGTGCATCACTCCGAAATCGGACTGTATTTACCCGAGATATTTCAATTCGAAATTCCTTGAACGGCCATATCTCGGCCAAATAAAGCCCAATCTTGGCCAGATTGGGAGGGTTAAGTCGCGGACGGCCATAGAATAGAACGGCATCAAAGTTTTCCGAATTTCGAAAAATGTCATTTTTAGCAAAAAACGTGATGTAACCACTGCATTTTTGGTCATTTTGGGTCATCTCTTAGAATGTGGTTTTTTGGATGGCAATCGATAGTCGGGGTCCGTACGAGCAGAAAGAGGTGCATCACTCCGAAATCGGACTGTATTACCCGAGATATTTCAGTTTGAAAATTTTCGGAAAACTTTGAATGGCCATATCTCGGCCAAATAAAGCCCAATCTTGGCCAGATTGGGAGGGTTAAGTCGCGGACGGCCATAGAATAGAACGGCATAAAAGTTTTCCGAATTTCAAAAAATGTCATTTTTAGCAAAAAACGTGATGTAACCACTGCATTTTTGGTCATTTTGGGTCATCTCTTAGAATGTGGATTTTTGGATGGCAATCGATAGTCGGGGTCCGTACGAGCAGAAAGAGGTGCATCACTCCGAAATCGGACTGTATTACCCGAGATATTTCAATTCGAAAATCTTTGAACGGCCATATCTCGGCCAAATAAAGCCCAATCTTGGCCAGATTGGGAGTTAAAATGTGGATTTTTGGATGGCTATCGATAGTCGGAGTCCGTACGAGTAGAAAGAGGTGCATCACTCCAAAATTGGAGTTATGTCGTTTCAAAACGACATAACTCCAATTTCGGAATGATGCATCACTTCGAAATTGGAGTTATGTCGTTTTGGAACGTCATATCTCCGCGCGAAGCTATGTCGTTTTGGAACGTCATATCTCATATATTTGGGATCCGTACGAGTAGAAAGAGGCGCATCACTCCGAAATCGGACTGTATTACCCGAGATATTTCAATTCGAAAATCTTTGAACGGCCATATCTCGGCCAAATAAAGCCCAATCTTGGCCAGATTGGGAGGGTTAAGTCGCGGACGGCCATAGAATAGAACGGCATCAAAGTTTTCCGAATTTCGAAAAATGTCATTTTTAGCAAAAAACGTGATGTAACCACTGCATTTTTGGTCATTTTGGGACATCTCTTAGAGTATGGATTTTTGGATGGCAATCGATAGTCGGGGTCCGTACGAGCAGAAAGAGGTGCATCACTCCGAAATCGGACTGTATTACCCGAGATATTTCAGTTTGAAAATTTTCAGAAAACTTTGAATGGCCATATCTCGGCCAAATAAAGCCCAATCTTGGCCAGATTGGGAGGGTTAAGTCGCGGACGGTCATAGAATAGAACGGCATCAAAGTTTTCCGAATTTCAAAAAATGTCATTTTTAGCAAAAAACGTGATGTAACCACTGCATTTTTGGTCATTTTGGGTCATCTCTTAGAATGTGGTTTTTTGGATGGCAATCGATAGTCGGGATCCGTACGAGTAGAAAGAGGTATATCACTCCGAAATCGGACTGTATTTACCCGAGATATTTCAGTTTGAAAATTTTCGGAAAACTTTGAATGGCCATATCTCGGCCAAATATAGCCCAATCTTGGCCAGATTGGGAGGGTTAAGTCGCGGACGGCCATAGAATAGAACGGCATCAAAGTTTTCCGAATTTCGAAAAATGTCATTTTTAGCAAAAAACGTGATGTAACCACTGCATTTTTGGTCATTTTGGGACATCTCTTAGAGTATGGATTTTTGGATGGCAATCGATAGTCGGGGTCCGTACGAGCAGAAAGAGGTGCATCACTCCGAAATCGGACTGTATTACCCGAGATATTTCAATTCGAAAATCTTTGAACGGCCATATCTCGGCCAAATAAAGCCCAATCTTGGCCAGATTGGGAGTTAAAATGTGGATTTTTGGATGGCTATCGATAGTCGGAGTCCGTACGAGTAGAAAGAGGTGCATCACTCCAAAATTGGAGTTATGTCGTTTCAAAACGACATAACTCCAATTTCGGAATGATGCATCACTTCGAAATTGGAGTTATGTCGTTTTGGAACGTCATATCTCCGCGCGAAGCTATGTCGTTTTGGAACGTCATATCTCATATATTTGGGATCCGTACGAGTAGAAAGAGGCGCATCACTCCGAAATCGGACTGTATTACCCGAGATATTTCAATTCGAAAATCTTTGAACGGCCATATCTCGGCCAAATAAAGCCCAATCTTGGCCAGATTGGGAGGGTTAAGTCGCGGACGGCCATAGAATAGAACGGCATCAAAGTTTTCCGAATTTCGAAAAATGTCATTTTTAGCAAAAAACGTGATGTAACCACTGCATTTTTGGTCATTTTGGGACATCTCTTAGAGTATGGATTTTTGGATGGCAATCGATAGTCGGGGTCCGTACGAGCAGAAAGAGGTGCATCACTCCGAAATCGGACTGTATTACCCGAGATATTTCAGTTTGAAAATTTTCAGAAAACTTTGAATGGCCATATCTCGGCCAAATAAAGCCCAATCTTGGCCAGATTGGGAGGGTTAAGTCGCGGACGGTCATAGAATAGAACGGCATCAAAGTTTTCCGAATTTCAAAAAATGTCATTTTTAGCAAAAAACGTGATGTAACCACTGCATTTTTGGTCATTTTGGGTCATCTCTTAGAATGTGGTTTTTTGGATGGCAATCGATAGTCGGGATCCGTACGAGTAGAAAGAGGTATATCACTCCGAAATCGGACTGTATTTACCCGAGATATTTCAGTTTGAAAATTTTCGGAAAACTTTGAATGGCCATATCTCGGCCAAATATAGCCCAATCTTGGCCAGATTGGGAGGGTTAAGTCGCGGACGGCCATAGAATAGAACGGCATCAAAGTTTTCCGAATTTCGAAAAATGTCATTTTTAGCAAAAAACGTGATGTAACCACTGCATTTTTGGTCATTTTGGGACATCTCTTAGAGTATGGATTTTTGGATGGCAATCGATAGTCGGGGTCCGTACGAGCAGAAAGAGGTGCATCACTCCGAAATCGGACTGTATTACCCGAGATATTTCAATTCGAAAATCTTTGAACGGCCATATCTCGGCCAAATAAAGCCCAATCTTGGCCAGATTGGGAGTTAAAATGTGGATTTTTGGATGGCTATCGATAGTCGGAGTCCGTACGAGTAGAAAGAGGTGCATCACTCCAAAATTGGAGTTATGTCGTTTCAAAACGACATAACTCCAATTTCGGAATGATGCATCACTTCGAAATTGGAGTTATGTCGTTTTGGAACGTCATATCTCCGCGCGAAGCTATGTCGTTTTGGAACGTCATATCTCATATATTTGGGATCCGTACGAGTAGAAAGAGGCGCATCACTCCGAAATCGGACTGTATTACCCGAGATATTTCAATTCGAAAATCTTTGAACGGCCATATCTCGGCCAAATAAAGCCCAATCTTGGCCAGATTGGGAGGGTTAAGTCGCGGACGGCCATAGAATAGAACGGCATAAAAGTTTTCCGAATTTCAAAAAATGTCATTTTTAGCAAAAAACGTGATGTAACCACTGCATTTTTGGTCATTTTGGGTCATCTCTTAGAATGTGGATTTTTGGATGGCAATCGATAGTCGGGATCCGTACGAGTAGAAAGAGGTATATCACTCCGAAATCGGACTGTATTTACCCGAGATATTTCAGTTTGAAAATTTTCGGAAAACTTTGAATGGCCAGAAAAACTGCAACTTGATTAAATGTTCTATATAAGTAATAATGTAAACGCATTTATCTAACATTATTTTTTAGTCTACAAATTATACTGATAAAGGTAGAACTTATAATTATTGCTAATTTTATTTTATTGAGGTCCTTTTATTAATTTACTTAATAAACTTTATCCCGGATAGTTGCAGTGCGTTGCTGAATATAACATATAGACTCACGAATAGCAATAGAATCTATTGAAATGGTTTCTTCAATCTGAAAAGATAAAAATGTATTAGAAAAAAATAAGTAAGACACACAGATATTAAACATTAAATGACCATTCTTAGATTAAGGAATTGGAGGCATTTCAGATCGAATTTAAGCTCAGAGTCGAACCATAAGACTTAAACTTCCTATTTGAGGAAGATGCGTGGAATAGTGTACAAAACTGAAAAACTTTAAGAGTATATATTTCGGGAAAATGGAGTCCAGGAAGGCTTATAGAATCTATTCGATCATGATAAGAACCGATTAAGTTTTTGCCTTATTCATCAATATTGTTCAAATTTTAGAATATTAAATTACAAAAGTCCGCATCCCTGTGAGTCGTAAGAGATATGACATACCAAAATATGGCATTATTTGGCCGCGATATTCCAAGAAATCTTCTAAAAGTTGTTTGTTTAGAATCAAACCAATTTTTGGTAAACATTTTGGTATTTCTTAATGTAATTCCTAGCCATTTTTGTCAAATTAGGTTACATATTTATATTGTAGTTTTTAAAACCCGCTCAGAAGTCCTGTTAGAAATGTATGAATGTATGTATGTATGTATATATTTGTATGTATGTATCTATATGAATGTAATAATGTGGTCTTTCACCAAATGTAGACAAAGGATATTTTACTTTCTTTTCAGAAAAAGGGCTAAACTATCAAATAGTTTTCTTTAATTAGGTTTTATCAGCAGTATCATTCCTGGAATCTCAAATATTATAACAACTTTGTTAAATGTTGAATCCTGCTTCCACACCTATTTTCACAAAAAAAGTTCACGTATTTTCAATATGAAATTACCAACTTTTGCTTTTATTTCACAACTCATCCATCTAACCCACCCATTTCATGGAAACTGTAAAATTAAATTAAATATATGTATATATTTTTAACAAATACAAATTCAACACAATATGTGAAATACTAAATAGCTGAGATGCCAATGTGCAAATTGCTGGGTAAACTTTACATTAACTGAAGGCTCGCAGAAAAACCCCGACTGCAGCCGCACACGTAAGCGTCGAGTGAAAGGCATGCACTGAGTGAGCATGTAATAAAACAGTACGAAATAAAAATTAAATACCATAAAAAAAATATATAAACAAAAATTAAAATAAAAGAACAGGGGCGAATGCTAGTGTGGCAGCAACAGGAATTGCAACAGCAACAAAAATAAAAAAAACCCGAAAAAAGGCAGCCGCATATTACGAAAATGTATTAAATTTTTAGCATGCTCATTAAAAAAATATTAAAATAAAATTTCTATGGTAACACAGACACACACACACGCACACACATTCACTAATAATGCCCACATGTATTGTGAGAAATGAAAATAAAAATGTGAAACCGTCTGCCTGATGGCAATAACATGAGCTGCCTTCCCATTTGGGAGAGTGTGTGCGTTAGTGTGTGTGTTCGTGTGGGTAAAGGGTATACCGAGACCGCATGAAAATTGGCATCACACACACACACACACACACACAGACAGAGATACACAGTAAAACAGTACGCCTGCACATTAAAACAACGCCATGTTCTGGCGCCCAGACCCAGCTGCCACGCCCAATTTCCAGCGAGGCGAGACAGCAGCAGCGGGAGGATGAGAGGGGGAGGCGAGGTCAACAGCAGGGGCTGAGTCAACGATATGTGAATATCAAGATTTAATTTAAAGTTAACTAAGTAAGATTAAGCTTTAGCATTGCACTCACACACACACACACATATGGCCATTTGCAGGGTGCAAACGTGTTTGTGTGTGGGCAGGGCAGAGTCGGAAGGGAACTCTCGTATCAAGTAGAGCAGAAACTCTTAATAAAGCAATTGCCTCTGGCAGTCAAAAAGTAAACGTCGACGTCGTGCAGCAACCTGATTACGACAGGGGTGACGGGCGGTGTGGTAAGCACCTCGGTCCAGGGCCACGACCTCAAGCATACATCTATCTCTCTGTATATATATATATGTGTGTGTGTGTGTGTGTGAGTTGGCTTTCATACGAACGACCTTTTTTCGAGACCCATGACATAGCGGCAGTTAGTTCGGCCACTTTATAGAGCCGCTCGCTGCGCTGCGCTGCGGATCGCTGGCTGCCTGGCTGGGCGGTAATCTGGGTGGTGTTTTTTGGGTGGGTGAAAGAAATACCGGATATGTGCAGCTGCAGATGAAACTTGCACGAACAGCGCCCAGCAATATCAACTAACCATAATTACATATTGAATGGCATAACCAGAAGAAATTCGAAATTCCAAGCGAAGCATATCCAACTATGAACTGAATTTAATTAGCTTTGCGCTCTAAATTACAATATTACAGTGCAACGAGTATTTGTATTTAATGTACAAAATAACGTTATAAGAAAAAATTGAAGGAGCTTTCTAGAGAGTAATGCCTCAAAGATTGTGACGAAATAAATTTCCAGATAAAATTTGACTTAAAGCCCAACACGTCCATAACAAAAGTTTCTATGAATCATTTATCTGAATTCTATAATTTATATGAATTCAAAAAATATAAAATGAAAATATTGTAGAAAAAGTAAAAATGTTTAGTTTATACATCAAAAGAAAATTTAAATATCGGGCAATATAATTTTACAGAAATTAAATAATGATTTTTAAATTCATGCAATTCCTGAACCATAATTTATATAAATTCGAGCTATTTATCAAAAATATATCATTTTTTTCCAATTTTTTTGCATGATCATTATATAATAAAATGGTCGAACGACTGCTTACTGCTTATACATACATAGATCCAAAAAAAATGTTAAAGAATTATTTACAAAAAATCAGTTCTCGCCCCACTGTGCGCTGCGGCTAGCAAATCTGTGCAGCAAAAGGCAAATTATATAGCAGCAGCATATTATTTGCAGCACAAGCGACAGCAACTTGGACACATGAAATACAGCTACGATGGCTACAACAACAAGAGCAACAACAACAATATTTTTACCAGCTACAACAACAACAACAACAGCTTTAAGGGCTATAAGGACTGGCCATGAGGATAAAATAAAAATCCCCTCCACTCGTATTATTATCTCCATACATGAAGATATTCAAAGCGCTGGGGGAAATTTAAAGAGAGAAAGAGAGAGAGAGAGAGAGAGAGAGAGAGAGAGAGAGAGAGAGAGAGAGAGAGAGAGAGAGCAAGCAAAAAATAAATTTAATGTAAACATAAAAGCAAGTTTTGGGAGAAGCTAGTTTTGCATTTTATAATCAGCGCAAAACGCGGGGGTTGGCCGCGTCCCACCCTCGATTAGGGTTGACGATGGGTGGAACGGGCCGAACGGGTCGAACGGGCCTGAGAAGGTTGGCGGCATGGTGTCTGATGAAGGGTGCAGTGTAAAGGGTGACTACTCGACTGCTGTCTGCCCTGGCCGGCTGTGTGTGCTGCATTTGATGATGCTTGGCTGGTCTCTCAGCCTCAGCCAGTCAGTGCACCAAGTGGCAGCTGTGCGCCACGGGCAGCGGGGGAATGCAGAAAACGGGGGGGAAACGGACAGACGCACATAGCCCGGAGCCGTAATAGTGCGGACTACGGGTTCGGTTTCGGGCTCCGGTTCGAGCTGGGGCTGTCCTTTGTGCTTTGTCAAAGGGAAATTTTATATGATTTTTAATGCTTCGCGCTTCATAAAAATGTTGCCGTAGCTACAGGAACAGAATGCAAATAAATTGGCTTCACATGGCTTCACATCCAATGGCAGCCCCGAAGCCTTTAAGCCAATTCCTTTTATGTTTACGGCCACCTCTCTCTCTCTCACTCACTCTATCGCTCTCCATCTCAATATATCTGTCATATCGAGGCAACGCTGTATTTGATTAACACTTCACGGCGCACTGCGCCAAATCCCCGAACAACATTTTTGAATATTCCCAAAAATTTACATCACAAAGTTGCTTTCACATAAGTTTAGATATCTGGTATTTGCATATTTATAAAATGTGCTAAAGCTTAAAGTTGGGTAACTATCATGATAAACACCCGGAACATGCACTCTTGCTAGGTATTCAAATATTTGGGTTGAAAATGTGTCAACTTTTTATGTTTTTGATTTTTTGCTAGGCTAAAGAATTCATTACATCTAAGAAAAACCTTTTTTGGAATAGAATTTTCTTAGAATTTGTACATTTTCTAGAACAAACAGATTTTTCAGAATTTTCATTAACAGCATTAAATGTTTTCTATATAATCCCAATTGAGAAATCTTTTTATTAATTTCTTGGTAGTCTTTATATATTTTCACCAAGCTTGAAATAGTTTTCATTTTCTTCAGCTTATCAAAGCGTATTTAACTTTAAGGGAAAATGCACAAATTTTCCATTGCATATTACACATGAATATTAAATTAAGGCGAATGGCAATAATTTTCATATTTAATGAAGCCACACTTCATTTTAAGCAAATACAAATTCGAATAAAATTGGGCGCAAAATTACAGTGCATATAAAAAATATGCAACCGCATTGCGTTAATGGCTGCCTGGCAACTGGCAACTGGCAACTGGCTCGTTATGCAGCAATACCGAAAAAGTGAAACCAATTAAATATAAAAATGCTGAATACAACCAAACCAAAGAAAAAAATGTAAATGATAATAATACACACACGCCCGCACAAAACTATTTACGCCCGGGAGCAATAAACGCTTACGCAATTTAATTGCGCACAAAATGGCAGCCAGCAAACAAAAAACAACAAAAATTAAAGAAACAAATTAAAAATAAAACCGCCAAAAGCTTGTTTTCAAATAGCAGCATAATTAATATAAAATAAAGTAAAGAGCGGTCGGGGCTGACGCAAAAGTAAATATGCTCAATTTATAGAAATTGCCAGATTTCTGTTTATTTGCGAATATTCGCACATTTAATTGTACACTGTGGACCAATTGCTTGGTATGGGTATCAAACAGAGGTATAGAGATATATATAAAGGTGTAAATACAGATATAGTGCAGATACAGATAGATGCAGATACAGATACAGATACAGATACAGATACAGATACAGATACAGATACAGATACAGATACAGATACAGATACAGATACAGATACAGATACAGATACAGATACAGATACAGATACAGATACAGATACAGATACAGATACAGATACAGATACAGATACAGATACAGATACAGATACAGATACAGATACAGATACAGATACAGATACAGATACAAGAATATCCCACATGGCTTTCATTTTCCCGAGTATTCCGATAAGCCTTATTCCCCAAAGTCCCTTCCCTTCAATTTCTGGGCAATCTCCTTGAATATATTTACTTTAACATTTTCATCACAGGTGAGCCTTGGCGGAATAAGCCCCCGAACGCATTGAAATCGAAAATTCAAATTGAGTTTCGCACACGTCAGATTTGTCAAAGTATTTGCATAGTATATGAATTGTTTTTCGTGCAGCTACCACCTGTCGACATATTTTTGAATTGTCATGCAATTTGTAGAGCACGCAATACTGATAAATAAGCAAATATTTAATGATGCCGCGCACAGATGTCAATTAAGTAAATGCCAGGGCTATTTAGTGAATGCCAATCCGCTTTTATTAGCGGCACACCACTAAGCCTCTAGGCATCTGAGTGCTTTCTGCTTATTAGGATATATATGAATACATATATATATACGTATTATATATACACTTTTGTATTTGCAGCGTGTACAGCAACATTTTTGCCTGGCGGCGGCGGCGGCGCGTCTTCGTTCAGTTGCCTCATTTTCATATTGCCTGCGCCCGGGCTCATCATAATATTGCGTCGCACCCTCGGCAATGGCAGCAGGATCAGCAGCAGCAGCAGCAGCAGGAGCAGAAGCACCCACAGGCCATTCTTCAGTGTCAAAGCCAGCGTACACACATACACACACACACACACACACACACACACACACACACACACACACACACACACACACACACACACTAAAACACTCGCACACACACTTTTAATGCGTGTCGCTCACATTTTATGAGCTGTCGCAAAGTGCGAGAAGGCAAATGGCAAACAAAAAAAAAAAAAAAAAAAAAAAAAAAAAAAAAAAAAAAAAAAAAAGTAAAAGGAAGTGCGCGTTCAGCCAGCTGTGACCAGCATCGCAAATAAATGAAAAAAGTTCATCGAAATCAAGCAGAAGAATTTTAGCTACGGCAGGCCGAACTTCAAATACACTAACAGGCATATTCATGATATTTTTAAGCTCTAGCAAAACATTTTTAAATAGTTCAAGTCCTCGTCTTTCCTCACCTTATTGACAGCGTAAATATTTCTAAAAATAACTCAATCATCAAGCATTAGTTCCTATGACATAATATTCCAATTTGATTAACAAAATGCTTGGGAACTTTTATTGAACTCTTATTGATTGAGATTGACGAAAAAGAAGAGAAAATGGAACAACTTATTTTTGGACTAGTCTTAACTTTTCAGATAGACATTTCAATATAGTATACGATACAATGCCTCACGCATTTTCATCTAGTCCAAAACTAATCAAATTTTCAAAGCTTGGAAATAGTTCTATAGTTCTACGGATACATCAAAGCCGATTGACGGTGTGTAGAAATATATTTTTAAAGGGATTTAAAGTTGTTTAGAGTTCGCTAATCTATCAAACGACTTTCAATTGTAACATATTCAATCACATAACTAACACACCCGCTGCAAGTATGGGCATAGTGAATACAAAATCAAGCAGAAGAGCAACAGCAATATTGCGACCATAGGTAGAAAGTTATTGGTCATGTTTGGGCCCCTTCGTCTTTTTTTCCCTGGGTCGGTCTCTTATTTAATTAAATGTCAAACTCTGGCGTTCAGTTGTTTGATGCGACGGGCATTTGATTTGATTTTCAGAGATAAATGAATGACAGCCAAACAATTGCGCAATTTGCTTTCAAGTTGCGAAATTATATCAAACAAAAAAAAAAAAATATGTATATATATAAATATGCGTAATAAATGCATGCAATTTGTTTGTACTCCTTTAATGAACTGCACGAAAATAAAGTCATTCAGCTTTTAAGAACTAATTGATTAATACTATGCACATGAAAATCGTAATAAATTGTAGTGAGAGGTGGAGCATTTTAATTGGCAGCTTAATGCAAAAGCTTTCAGCTTAAAGTGTGCTTAACTTTAAGCTTTAACAAGCTTTTAATACATGTGCATACGAGTTTAAAAATATGTTAAATAAAGAAATTGGTCATAATGACTTGAAAAAATATATGAATATACTAGATATAATAAATGTTCGGCTAATTACGTTGGACTTGATATTTGGTTCTACAAATTTAAAGCTTTCATGTGCTTTGCCTTGTTTATAAAGCAAGATAGGCATAACACCTATGAGAGTGTGAAAGAAAGTTAATTAAAGAGTATGAAAATTGTTCCGGAATGAGTTTTATATGAAAGCTTTAAGTGCGAGGATTTATTGACTCATTAGATACTTTCGCTTAGACAAACTCACATCCATATAGACTTAATGATGTGTATAGCTGATTTTTGGTGTTTATTCAACTTGACATAATGCGCATACGCAGCGTAGCTCAGGCGGCTTCAATCGGATCCTTTTTTGTAAAATATTTGACAAGTTTATGTGTGCATTTAATTAAAAGCAGCTTAATTTACATGTGAAGCATTCCAATGCCAAATTATCAAGCATTATAATTAGCTGTCCATAAAAGTCGCGAGTCATTTTATAGATGTTAACATATTTATAAATATATATATATATATTTTAATACCCTTTTTGTGCACTTTACGCTTCAAAGCACAAGATGCAAGCGTATTGAATTTTATTTATATTATAAATATTAAATGTGACTCTTGATTTAAATTGAATGCAAATGCAATTTTCTTCTTAATTTGCAGCTGATGTAGTGCATTGAATGGTTCGTTTTTGGCGTCCATTGCAGCGAATGATGTTTTAATTAAAGCATAAATCACACACACACACATAGTTACACGCAGACACACAGTAAATGCCGCAAATGTTTGAAATGATTGTACTAATATGTCATTACGTTTAATTAACCACATTTACCAAGGTACCTCACATTGCACGCATTCAGACACACACACGTGGAGAATACATGGCACCGCATTGCAAAGCTCCTTGCGGCAGGACATCAAAAGCATTCGCAGCACAACCATCAGGCCCTTTCCACATTCGTAATTAGACCTAACCAGACATTGGGTCCTGCCATATTATCAATTATGCACAGCGGTTCGGCTATTCGCCTGATTGGCTCTCTTCTGGCTCCTGAATTTTGCCTTTAATTAGTGTCAAGTGCAGCCCAAACAAACAGCACACAAATTCAATTAAAGTAAATTGCTTAATTTCTATACAAATAAGATTCAATTTCTCCAAAGTCTTTCTCTATAAACACACACACACACACGCACACACGCACACAAAGAATGTTCATAATTGCATGCCCTAAAAGTTTCTGTATTTTTATTTGAGTTTCTGGCTTGATTTACCCTGAAAACGACAACTTGTTGTTCGGTTTGGTCTGCGGTGGACTAAACAATTTTCCAAACTGATGCGCCCCAAATTCAAGGGAGCGAGACCTGCACATGTGCGGACAAGAAACCCCAAGAACCCCAAAAAAAAAAAAAAGTTAACAAAAATATATGCGTATGTTTTAGTGGAGTATACTAGCCTACAAGTTACCCTATATTAAGATCAGTCAAGCAGTCAATTAGTTTTAAATAACTTTGGTTTAACTGACTCAAACCCATTTTTTAGAAGCATGTATCGAATTTGAAGTCTATATCAAGTCAAAACATATGAACAAACTTAATCAATATATAGAATTCCTTTAGCTCTGTGTGCTTTTAGTAGCACGAAACTTGCTTGGCTCGACTGTGTTATACAAATATCTAGTGGAAGATACGTTGGCGAAAAAAGCGCGATAAAGACTCGAGATTGAATATACAATTGTAATCTTTTTTTTTAAGCTTCAAAATTTATTTAATATTTTAGCTTATGTCTATACGCAGGTCTGCCCTTCCTACCAAAACAGTTTGTGCACTTTATGCTACCCTTTGCTTACGTATTTTAATGGGTATTACATATAAAAAGTAAGCGAAGCTAAGCAAAACCCAAAATCCCAAAAATCCCTTGATTTATTTCTAATGCTCAACCACACACACTTGCACACACACACACATACACACAACACAGACACACCCTCAAATGCATAGAATGGTAAATAGAGCAAGTGAGCAACAACAAATTCGACATATCCCGCAGGAACTAAATTGTGCCAGCGGCGGTTTCTTTGCTATCCGCACTGCTAACCAGACCATGCCCCAGGCCCACCGCCCTCTCCATATAGATATTGTTTAGATACTCGTATCCTGCCGACGCTCAAGGCTCTCAAGGAAGTGCGCAGAAAGCACGAACATGCAAAGTGAAGCTAAACGAAAGTGCCTCAATTTAAGTTGTAAGCTGATTTGCTAGAGCATACGAGTAATATGGCCAACACGCACACACACACACACACACACACACACACACACACACACACACACACACACACACATACATACACTAACATATGTGCACTTTATGTGCGTGAGTTGTTTTGTGTGCCTTCGCTTTGCCGTCAGCTTACCGAAGTAGAAAAACTTTTGGCTGTAACTGTAAAAGCAAATGCTCAAAATTAAGGCAAAACTTTTGCCGGTCTTCTCTAGCTTTATGAGGAGTTGTGGAGAGTATGTTCAATTTTTACTGCTGTTGGTATCTAAGATTGTTTATAAGTCTAGAATAACATGGAGAAAAACAGGGAATTCAAATTTGGAAAATGTGAATTGTCGAACTTTGCCTGGAGGACATTAAAATAGAGTCAAAAATGGAGAAATAAAATAGCCAGAGATGAAGCTCAAGAATTTGTTACCATAAAGTTGTGATCACAGCAAGAACATAGAGAAACAAGAAAGCGAAAGGATTGGATATCCAGAAATGTTTATAGAAAAGTGCTGCGGACCTTGCAGATTGCGAAGAAATTTTGAAAATACAAACTAGATTATTAATAAGGACCTCTAAAGGAATAAAAGTTAATGAAACAAACTCTTTACACTAAATAAGTCGGAGAGCCAGCTTTAACTATGAAAACAGCTACTGTCATCAAATATTTGGTAGAGGAAATGTATTATATATAAAGCATGTAAAGGTATCACAAAAATCAAAGAAGAGACTTTCAAGGTAAAGAACAAAAACTCAGCTAAATGAAAAAGCAAATGTATTAGAATAATAAAAGTTAATAATAGAATAAGTAAAAAAAAGAAACTACAATATATGCTCTGCTGAGCAAACCAAGTTAACATTTAGATCAAAGACGCGAGAAAGGCAAGGCTGCTCGAAAATATTTGTAGCGAATTCTGTCAAATCCTTAAATTTCTAGAGTAACTTGAAATTATCACGCAAAAGGCAGACAATATTTCTTATTGGACCGAAAGCGTCTTGTCTCTGAGTTGGCTTCATTTTCTTTGCCTTCGTTTTTCTTCTTTTTTTTTGTCTGATTTTGACACAAATCCCTTTGGTGCTAAAGCAATTTATGCGGTTGTATCTGGCGCAGAGGCGCATGCCGAAAAGGACTCACACACACACACACACACACAAAGATGAGCGCCCCGCATATCCTTATGTGTGTGAATATGCTTTTTGTATAGAACACATGCACCCGACTGTGTTTTTTGGTTATGGCTGTTTGGTCGGTTGGTTGGCTGGTTGGCTCAGAGATTGGTTGCTCCGGCTCTGCTGCATAAGTGCAATTTTATGTTTGCCCAAGAGTTGATAAATGGCAGGCTGTGGGCGCTCCGAAGTATGCATTCAATATGCGAACACAAATCTCAAAGCCAAATCCCTGAGCCCGGCTCAACTATTATTATGTCTAAACAACAACAGCATGTAAAATATGCAAATTTCTGCGCATAAATCTACAAATTGTCATACATAACATATTGTGCCACCATACATATATATAACACGAATATGCCACGCCTAACGCCCACCTTTAGCTTGGAACTTGCTAGCCGATAAAGCGTCCCTAAAAAAGTAATACCCAAATATTTCGTGTCATAAATTTAACGATATAAGCGCGAAAAAAAAGCTACACAAAAGCCAAAGCCCAAAAAAGAGCAAAAGAAAGGTAAAGGAACAAAGGAAAATCAAAATGCCGAAGTCCTAATACTCTTACGTGCATAAAACAACAATATTTTGTATTGAAAATAATACTTTTCTGACTAAGTCAAGGAATAATGTTAATAAAGAATTGTAGTTGATGATATATTTATCAAATGGCAGCTTCTACTATTTCATCTTTAATCCATAAAGCAGCGGATATTTCATAAAATACCGATTAATCGATTGTTTGCAAAAATCAATTAATCGATGACTATTCATTTAAAACGATTGCCCGGCTAGTAAAAATATAATTATAAGTTGATAGAACCTCTAGATAATTAGCATAAAGTATGGTAGCTAATACTTAAGTAGAAGGAAGGTTAATTGGATAAATAACATATTCAATTTAAGAAAAAAGTAATTCTAACCGTAAAAAAATTAATAATTTGATTATTTCAGGCAAATTAAAAAAAAAAAAACAATATATTGATTAGTTTTCCTGCTCACAGACGTGTTGCAAGCTAACAAAGCAAAGCAAGTGGATACCCTCGAAATACCCTATATCAAATATTGATTTACAATATTTTTTGTTGTGTTTAGAACATTAATTTATTCGGGCAAAGCCCAGCCATTGATATGGGCTTTACGAGACGTCCGTGTACAATGTTGCCCAGCGATAAATTAATTTAAGTGCCCGAAAATATTTTTTTGTATAACATACAAAATCAAATAGGCTGATCCGGCCGACAAAAATATGAGTATGCCAAAAAGAAGGAGGGCCATTAAAGAAAATGAGCTGCATGCATTACTAGTTAAATGGCTTCATTATATTTAGAAGGGCGCGGAAAAGTGTGGGCGGAGGGGGCTGAAAAACATTTAGCCAATATAAACATTTTTGCCCAATATATATATGCAGCACTTTGCACAATTTATTTGTCTTACGCTTGAAAATTTAATTAAAAAACTCAAAAACATTGAAGCAAAGTTTTTAAGAAAATGTTGCCTGGCATTAGCATGGCCTCTGTCAGGGGATGGTTGGGTGGCGGGTGGACGGGCAACTTTGGCAAAGTTGGCGCATCGTTATCAGCGCCATCAACAGCATCAGCAGATACAACAACCCGAACAACAACAACAACAACAACAACAACAATAACAACAGAGCGATTTATCTTCGATTCTTTCGTTAGGAATACTTTTTAGAATAAATTGCGGCGCTCCTTAGACGGCGACTTTGGGTTGGGGTTGGGCCGCAAATTGAAGCTGGCTGAGATGCTTTTTGGGAAGCGGATGCGGCATTACGCTTCGTTTGATTCTCTGCTGTTGTTGTGGTTGTTGTTACTCTGATGCTCGTCGCTGGGGCCTGGAAAATTAATTGCATGCAAATATTGGCGGAGCGAGGCAAGTAAATATAATTTCGTTGTTTGCTCATAAATACGCATTATTATTTGGCAGAATGGAAATGAAAGCGAACAAAAAAGGAAAAACAAAAAAGGAACAGAACACTACAAAAACAAGCAAAAACACGTGCAGGCTGCGGTAAGGAAATGTGATTGACTAGCAGCTACCCTTTAAACAGGTGAAGAAAACTCAATGAGTGAACAAAGACAAACTTAAAGCTTTGAGAATAGCTTCATGAATTTCCAGCGCTAAATATAACAAATTGAATTCTTAAAAAAATAAAGGTTTATAACTAGTTTTAAGCAATTTTCTAATTTATAATGAAAAATTTGGAGCCTCTTAACAACTGCGAATGGTTTAATGCCATGTTTGAGACCAAACAAAAAAATAAAAATAAAATATTAAATAAAAAATAATAGTATGAATATATAACAATTAGGTATAGAAAAATGTACATACCAATCTTCATGCGCCAAGTCCTTAATATCTTCGATAAGTGCCTAAAAAAAAGTTCGAAAAAATTAAATTATACGAATTTTCGAAGGACTGAAGAATATAATGTACAAAAAAAGGGAAAAAAAACAAAATTAATTTGATCTCAGCATTATTTAAACTTTTTCAGCTCATAATTTTATAAAGCTCCAGATGAAAATCAAATTTTTCAAAATATGTCTATCCAAAAATTATAAACTTTTTTCGATCTGCAATGATCTATTCCAGATAAATTTCTAGAAGCAAGCATTACATCAACTTGAATAATGCCCGTTTTAGCTGTAGCTGCAGGATTACAGGGTATAACGAATCCAGACGAAAGCGGCATATTATCTATTAAAGAAACAACAGCGATTTCGGGGGTTGTGCCATGCATCAGCAGATTTGAGCATTATCTAATCGGTTTAAACAGTTTTGTGAAAATGTTGTCGCTTAATTAGCATCATTATCTTTGATGGGGTCACGCACAGCCGACTGAGCAGGCAAAGAGCAGGCACAGCAGGGCATAATCTATGGAATGGAGCGAGGCTTGGAGGCTGCTGATAAATAGGCTGCTCGCTGGGAAGGTGGTAATTAATGGGCAAGTCGAGTGAAACCATTTTCAAGTGATAGCGTGTTATAATTAATGGGAGTGCGGGCCAATAAGTTGGTGCCCAGGTAAAAAGCACACGCTGCATGGGGCAATAATTGCAGCAATTTCAATTCGTATTACTTTCGACCAAAACTTTGAAGAGGCCACATTGAAGGAATGCAATCGCCCTAAGCGTTTGAAGTGTGCATAATTGTTAAGCACTTTTTATGCCAACAGGCTCAATGCTAACTTTGGCCATAAATTATTATGCGAAATTAGTCGCACAGCCCTCACAAAAAAGGCAATGCAACAATTTGAAATTGAAAAAAACCCCCCCTAGCTTTGGATGATATATGGCAGCTGGCTGGCAAGCCTGGCTAAAAGTTAAATAATCACAGTCATGTCAGATAATAAATGATTAACGTGCCAGACGGACTTCAATGTTGCCATGGGACAGATTTTAAGGTCTTTTATTTGTGGCTCGCATTTCAAGGGTACAACAGAATGCACTCTAAAGTTGCCTGTTGGGCTATAAAAAACTTATATGACATTATTTTATACTCTTTACAGCCAAGGGTGGCATAGTTGACTATGGAGTTTATACAATTACAAATACAATTGTATGTAAGTATTTTAAGTACGTCTATAAAGTGTGGTATGAATAAATTTCATTACACATCTATGAAGCCTTAATATAATAATACCTTGGAAATTAGCTCATTCGGTTTTCCGAATCTTTCAGAAATAAATAAATAGAATCATAAATTTTAAAATAAAAATAATAATGATAATAATAATAACAATAATAATAAATGGTAATGATAATAAATAATAATGATAATATAATTGTATGTAAATAATATTTAATAGTAAATTAAAAATATATACATATCGTCCAGGGTATCTTCATCTTCGCCATTTCATGTACAACGCTTTTTGCTTATCTGCTTCAAATGAAAATTGATGAGCTTAGCCACAATTAAAGCAAAAATTTAACCCTTTAATCAGAGTTTCGAATTACAAATTACTAATGCCAAAGTAATGTAATTGCAAAATGCTCTTCAATACAAAGATGGGTTTAACTTTTCACAGTTTTAATACACGTCTGAGCAGATTTCTGACCGTCTGCAGCATTGCTGACAATTTACTTTTACATACAACACAAGCTTAGATATACAGAAAATATATAGAGTACATATATACCGAACCTGCTTGAAAGTCCGCGCAATTTAGAAGCTCAATTGGCAGAGAAGCGCCGTGCCGCGTATGATCCAATGGGCGATGGGTGTATTTGGATTAGAGTTCAGCAGCATGGCCACCACAAAGTTGGTGCTGTGTCCGGTGGTGGACAGAATGCCGCGTCGCTCAGCCGTCTTGTAGAGTGGACACAAATAATTGTGCCGCTCGGGCAGATCGGAGCGCTTCAGTGGCCTCAGCCAAATCAGTGGCATCGTGTCGAAGAGCATGCGTGGACGCGATTCGGCGAGATATTTGTTCTGGCGATCCCAGCAAGCGCCCTCCAGAAAGATGCCATACACAAACACACCATCGTCGGGCGCAGATACACCTTTGATTCGTGTCTCATCAATCGACAGAACCTCATAATCAAAGGCCAGCAGATCTATGGAAATGACATATTTACGCGCATAATTCTGCTGGGCGCCGGTAAGGAAAGCCTGGGTAAAAAAGAAACCCGACAGCCAGAAGGTCGAAGGTGCGCCATGGTCGTACCAGTGCTGCAAAGAGAATACGTGAGTAGAAAATAAAGAAGTCCGACCAAAAGCTACCCTGTACTCAGCTCAGACGAATCGGAATAGGAATTAAATAAGTTAAATAATATATTTAGCTGATTTAATCTGCGACTCTGCATAACAACATTTAACGTTCAAGCAATGCGGCTTGGTCGAAGATGCCTTTTTCTGCCTGTTACATAAGTGTGCACAACTTAAATATACCCCCTATTTGACAGCTGTTTACAATGCGTGCTTGGTATATTAAGGAGGTCAGAAGTTGGAGCAAGCGGCCTAGTAAACAGTTGGGCTACCAGGACAACACAGTTGTGTAGTTGCCATGCCAAATTGTTAGCTCGATGTTGAACGCAAACTCACCTGCAGGAATTCGAGCCGTCGCAAAAAGTCCGTCACATAGCTGCCAAGTGGCTTTAGGCTGGGGTAGGACTTGCTGGCCCACATGGCGGGTATTTTGGCAATCAGCACAGACTTGTAGACCGCCTCGACGGCAGCGGACATGACCACCAGACCTGGTAAAAGAAAGCAACGAATTTCAAAATGAGCAGGCAAAGAAAACTTTGTCAAGTTTCGACAACGAACGGGCCCAATTACATAGTACCAAAAACTTCAATTAGTCAATGGCCAACAGACGTGCTTAACACTTAATTGATTATAACTAGTTATTTATTATTTTCGAATTATTGGTGCTGTAAAAAAGCCCCAATTAGCTGGCAAGAAAAAAAGTTAACTCAAAATGCCAGGGCAGGAGTCGCAGGAGCAGGACATCATGAATGTGCTGTATGCGGCGCGTCGCATGCGCCACAGCAGCGCCACCTCGGTGCACGACTCGCAAAAGATTGAGCAGGTCAAGAAGATTAGTTCCAAGGAACAGCTGCTGTCGGAGCCACCAAAGCATGCCAAGCGCGTGACCTTTAGCAAGCCGCGTCTCGTGATGAAACCACGGCAAACGACAGTCAAAGAGAGTGAGTCGCAAACGGGTCTCACTTCGTGTCTGATAACAAATCCTGGGCTCGATCCACGCATAACTGGCGGTAAGCACATCTTAATTGACTTTAAGTCATTTATCCTATATCCTTATTATGTCTTGCAGGCGCCAACAATCCGGCGGAGCGCAATGTCGGCTGGCTGGCGCGCACGGACAGCGAGTGCCAGTTCAAAGCACCAGGAATTGAATTTCTCACCGAACGCGATACCGATGTGGTCACGTTTGAGGTCAAGATGCGGGATTCGGTGCAGAGCGTCCAGGATTATACAACCAAATGCGATTACTTTCCCACATATGTGGACAAACGTCGCTTTAAGGATCAGACCACACAGACACTTTACAGGTAGAGCTAGTTAAATAAACACCAGCTCGCAATTAACCCAAACTAAATGAAGCCCCCATTTTTAATTCAGGGAATCCTCGGCACAGACCGTTGCCTATTTGCCGAACATCAGGGACAAAGAACAGGATGAGCATTTAGAGATATTTAATTTGTCCACACTGCTGGCTGGGGATAAGCCACCTGGCCTCTACGAGGTTGAGGTCTTGGAGCGCGCCCGCAAGCGTTGGGCCTTCAATAAGGCTCTGAAGACGAACTTCCAGAAGCAGCTGCAAGAAGAACGCGAAAGGGCCATCAAAAGCAAATACCGACCCATACTGGAGGCGTTCGAGTGGGAGCACTGGATGGAGCGCGAGGAGTATATACAAGAGTGCCAGATGATGCGACTGGAGATAGTCATACGCATGTTTGACAAGCGCGAGAAACAGATGCACAACGCATCCAAGTCGCGCATCGAGACCGCCTGCGAGACAATCGAGCTGCGACGCCAGCGTGGTCTCCGCAAGAACGAGCTTGAATATCAGCGGGCAATTCGACGGTTGCAGATTAAAAACTCCGGCATCTCGAGACGCTGGGTCAAACAGAGTCCCATGTATGCACTGGGCTCGCCCTGTTCCGAGTTTTATGGCCCGCTCATACGGCACGGCGTGGATCCGTCGCGTCGCAATTTCGTGGGCGATGGCCGGAAGGCGTTCGATATGCGCATCGATGATCTGGAGAAGCGTGTGAATATGGAACAGCTGGAGTGTCCATTTACCAAGCTCAAGGAATGGTCCAAGCCTAAGGAATATGTCAAGGAATATGAGCAGAACTTCTGCTCCGACAAGCATCTGCAGAAGCTCTACGAATCGCTGAAGAGTCTGCGCTCGCAAGCAACCAAAGTAAAGACATCGCCCAAATGCCTGAAGCGTCGTCCGAAACCCGTTTCCGATGATGTCGAGCGATTGACGTACACTTACGATGAGATAGATGCCAGCGGTTTCTTTGCCAATCGACGACGCACGGATGATGGGCGAGCAAAGGGAACGCTTCTGCCCGAACAGCTGCTGGCCATACAGCAGCACATGGAGGAAGAGGAGCGGCGTCATCAACGACCGGAATTGGCCAAAGAGCTGCTCCGCGAGCGGCGAAGTGAGGATCTGGAGCATCTGCTGCACATGTACGAGGGCAGCACCATTGGCTGGGTAATGCAATTCCTCTCCGAGGAAATGGAACGGCTCAAGGAGCAGCGCAAGCTGCACTTCTTCTCTATACTCACGCAAAAGGAGCGCTGGCGCCGAGAGGCGGCCGAGGCGGGTCTACGCCAGAAGGAGAACAGTATGCGTTTGCTCTACGAGGACATGTTCCAGCAGAGCAATGTGGTCCACAATGAGATTACCGACGACTACATCAATACGATTCTAACCACCGACATGGCCCATATAGCCGAACGCGATGCGGCCGAAACCGTTGTGTCTATGGCCAAGCAAATCGATGCGGATATTCAGCGTTGGTTGGAGAGCTTCAAGTGCGTCCAGACACCGCTGACCTATGGGCCACTGCGTGAGATGCTGCGCAGCATGGTCTTTCCGGAGCTGAGCGACATGCTGCTAAAATATGAAAAAACCCTGATAGCCAAATATATTGTGGAAGATGTGCTCTTTCCCCGCATCTGGGACGAGCTGGAGAACTACGATATAGCGAGCACAATTGCGAACGATTTGATTGATCGTCTGATCGATAATGATCTATATTTCTTTTCCACGGAAAGTGAAAGCGAGCAGCCGAAACGCAACTGTGAGCGTGAGGCCGAGTCTATTATACGGAAACTTATACGCCAGGCAGTACCCGGCCGGCGCTGGAAGACGGAAACGGAACGCATTGCCCATGAGAACTGTATCAGTCTGTTGGATGATGTTTTCAACAGGATTATAGAGAAAATGGACGCTGACCCGCCGCCGATCGATCCAGTAGAGCTGCATTTAGCCTTCTCAAGACAAGCGATGACGCCCATGGATGATATACGTCACATTACCGAGGAAATGCAATCGGAAAGACACGATCGCAAAGACACAATTGAAGCAGACTCTCAAGTGACATTTTTACGCACCCAAGTATTGTCACTCCTCAAGAAAATGAAGACAGATACTGTGACCAGAGATCTGGTCACCGATGAACTTTATGCAGGCGATGACGTAAAGGATGTCACCCATGATACATTGCTTAAGATGCAGATTTACGAATATGCTAAAAATCAAGAAAACACAGGCGATGAAGATATTTTCAGTGTGATCAGCACATTAGACATTGGCAAGGAGGATGACTTCAAACTGCTACGCAAAGCAAATCATGAACCGCGTCGGATCTCTAGCACATTAAGTAATATTGGCATTAAGTTTGACACCGATGGCACACAGACACGGCAGGAGGATCAGATTATTGGTGCACTGCAAGATTTTGTCGGTGATTTTGCTGGTGATTTAGTAGTGGATACCGTCGAGGAGAATACCGAATATGAGGCGGATGACGAGCGTAGCTTGTGGAATCTGACCACGGGCGAGGGCGAGGTTGAGGACGGGGATGAGGAGGATGATTTTAATATTTATGATGGAAACCTCCAAGGCTCGGAGGAATTTGAAGAGGAAGACGAGTTACAAGAGGAACAAGAGCTACAAGAGATACAAGAGATACAAGAGGAACAAGAGCTAATTGAAGAACCTGAGCTACAAAAGGAACCTGAACTAAAAGAGAAACCAGTGTTACAACAGAAATCGGATATAGCCCCACAGAAATCGGATAAAGATCAACAGAAATCAGATAAAGCCCAACAGAAATCGGCTAAAGCCCAACACTCAGGGATGGCAAAAGACAATAATTTGAGGGAGGACGATGTAAAACCAATGTCGAGAAAAACATCACAAATCTCGCTACTAATGCCCGATGTCAATGATCAATTTGTTAGAAGTCATACATCGAACACCTTTTTCCAGGGCAAGCTCGGTACCGTTATGAAGAGCGGAACGTTGAGCAATTACGAATTGCAAACAGCTAACTTAGAAGACCACCCTCCAAAGCAAAAGGCAAAGCTGTCGGTAGCGCCATCTGCACAATCACATCGCGATTAATTGTTGTAGACCAATTATTGTTTTAACCACAATTGAAAATTAAAAGTTATTTAGTTAAGTGCAACACGCACACGCACACGCACACGCACACACAAACTTACCCTTGATACCCTTTTTGAGCGTTATCAAACTGGTGCGTATTGTATTTAGCAGGACATTGAATCGCACCATTTCCTGCACCAGCACCGTATTCATGCTCTGATGATATTTGGTCGGATAGCGTAGAAGAGCAGCCTCCCGGTCGAACAGTTTGGGCAGCTTATCCAAGATATCGGTTGCCACATTGGTCACCACCTCCTCGGGCGTCAGCGCCTTGGAGCCTCCGCTGTCGTCTTGGGAACCGCTTGTGTCCTTCAATGGCATTTGGTAGAGTGCAAGGTAGGGTGGACATGTTGGATAATTGGGTAGGGATAGGTTTTCGGGAAAGCGTTGCGACAGCACATCTACAAAAACTCTTTGGGTTTTCTCCAGTCGCTAAAGCGCAAGCGTATTAACAAAATTACAAAAGAAAGCTGTCAACAAGAAAAGCAAATGCCAGACATCCTTGAGCTGCAAACAACTTACGCGTTTCTCTTGGAGATCCTGTACAGGCAGGCATGGAGCAAATAATGTGTTATTAAAAATCGCAAAGTGTAAAACCCTCTTGATAAAAACTTACCCAACGTTCCTTTCAAAGCGGCAGTGAGAAATACGAACAAGCGAAAGTTAAGCGAAATATTAAGCACAAAAATGTTTAACGACAAACTAGTTGGATGCGTTTTTTTTTTCAAAGGGATCTTTTCAAAATCTACCAAGAATCTTTCAGTCAAGTAGCCTGGTCTGTTGACCGATTGAGCAAATTTTTTTGCCAAATGATTGCAATTTAATGTTAAAGGAAGTAAGGTTATAGGAATTAAGGAAGATATTCAGGAAGTAAAATGTTCCTCTTCGAGAGCTGACATCAAATTAGATGTTTAAATAGCTGACCAGTTAACGAGAGCTGAACAACGAGATTTAACGACTCAGGTAGAGCGGATGCATATGGAAGACGAGGAATACTCCTTATATTCCATATTAAGAATTTGTTATCTCCAACTGTACCCCGCGGTACGCACCCAACATTACTAACTAACTAATCTACATGTAACAAACTTTAGTAATAAATCACAGATGTGATAGATGTTAGCCCAAGCGAAAGTACGGCACCGCACTCACCTGTGTCAATAGTGTGTGTGAGAGCAACATGTCCGTTTCCTGTTGATCCTTCATAATATCCGCATTCGCATGGAAGCCAAAGATGGAGGGTGGCGATATTTGCGGCAGTTCACGCGTAAAAGTTAGATACAATTCGACATCCTTGAACACGGGCACATAATAATAGCCCGTCTCATCCAAATAGTAGGGTTTCTCCAAATCGAGTACAGCCGGACAATAAAAGCGATCCAGTATAGTCTTCAAAGTGCGACGATCCCAGTCGTCGGTGACACGTCCACCATAATTACACTCGCCAGTCAGATAGCGTAAGGCATCATAATTAACAGTCTCGTACTGGTTGAGGAACATGCGCAACTGCATCAACGAGATGCGCAGATCCGTTTCGTTGAACTCGTAGGGTATATTCCAGCCAATTGGTCCAAAGTAGCGACGCTCCTGAATGACAGCATGAAAGAAGCACAGCGAGTAGATCAGCTGCTTGAAGATGCGCGGCTGTTTGCAGGACTCATACCACTCCAGGTCGCTAATCGGATCGCTGAGCATGGAGCGCGTTATATTGGAGCGCAAGCCCTTGGGTGGTTCATTGGTCATTTTGATGCCATTCTGCAGCACCACAACCGGGAAATGCTCAGCCGGATATGAGGTGAGCCATAGTCGAAAGTCTGGATGCGTTGAATCGGGCAGCAAATTCTCGCAGACCTTCTCCAAGGATGGCATAAAACTTGCAGCCAAATGACAGTTCTGTAGGACCACCCAATTGCCCAGCTTGACGCCCTCGTCGATCATCTTAATGGCAATGGGACCCTGTCCCTGGCCCAGCGACAAGGAGAACAAGCGATTCGTGCCGAATCCCTGATCCTCGGCAAATTTCAACAGCGTGGCCGTCGGATCCGAGCCGGGTGTCAATATAAATATCAAGGGCACACAGCAGTGGGAGTCGCCAAATGAGGCCATCAAATCGAATTGCGGCGGATCCACGAATCGTTGACCCAGCTCACCGGCCACAAAGTTCAGGACAGCTGGCACCAGTTTATCCGGTCGAAAGACGCGCAACAGCAACAATTGCTGGAATACGCTTAAGCGCTTTAGCCACGCACTTGGTATGGCCTTATTGTCCTGCGGTGTTTTCGAGTCAAAGAACACCTTCCAAGAGGCCGAATTGTCAGTGACGTCTTCGCGTAGTCCTTTAAAGGCTGACAAGCTCGATAAACGGCAGCATTCATCCCAATTTTGTACGCCCAGCCAGGCTGTTGGATTTTTATACGGATTCTCGAGGCCAATTCCGCCAGTTAGCAGGAACATCCATTCACCATTGTCAATCAAATTTTCATGCTTCATCAGATTGACGTTCAATATGAGGGAGAACAAGAGCTTATCCTGTCATGAAGCAGACATTTTATTAGTTTTTTTTTTTATATATTTCATATTTTCGGACGCATTAAAATGGGGTTTCAAATGGGGTTACATAAGCAATCAAGGCAACACGACTACAGATACCGTTTCACAATTTCATTTTTCATCATTTCTTTTTTTTTCACAAGAAAATTAAAAGCCAAGGATCAAAGGGGAGCTTATGCAGCAAGGGCACATCGCATAATTGACTGAAAACATCATCAAGCCAAAAAGGACCTGGTTGATTTTTCGCTCTTCGTTCCCCCCGCTTTGATTCCAATGAGGTTACAATATTATTCCCTCAGTGAAAGTGGCACAGTGGACAGAAAGTGAGTCCCTGATTTGGAAAACATGTTACGATTCGTTTTTATCTTATTGTGCCCAACATTTTTCATTTGGCAGAACTGGCCTATCAAAATTTAACTCAAAATTGTACTGCTTGTCAAATATTTAACTGGCTGAAGACAATCTTTAACAAAAGGTTGACTACTTTGGTAGGTATAAATAAGTATTTTTAAACGATCTTAAATGTTTCAACATAAAAAAGCAGTTGACAACTTTAACATGAAGTAGTTAAGGTAAGAAAATCTATTTTGACAAGCAGTTAGAGCGATTGTCAACTTTGACATGAACATGAGGTTGACCTATCGAATAAAAGTAGTGTGTAAAAATAGATTCTCGTAAAATACCACTGTGCGAAACAGACGCACCTGGCACATAGCATTTACTGCGTGCCGTCAATTGGAAGTGGCGGCGAGGCACAAGCCCTTAAAGCCGATGCTAAGGAATTATTATAACGCAGTGAAGCGCAACGATACGCAGCCACAAAGAAAATCAAGCGCGCCCAGCAATACGCTTCAAATACAACGCAATGGGATTATATTGCAATTACGACACACACAAGGCCCACAACAAGACAGGATGGATAGGAAGGGGAAAGTTGATGGATCCGGCAGTGACCCCAGCTGAACTAACGTTTGATGATAATTGGCATTGGAGCTGAAGTACTTACACGCTCGAAGAGACTGCGGCAGATGTTGACGTACAGGCTATAGGTGAAATGATTGCGCAAGTCCTTTAGACGTGCCACGATATCATCGACCTTTTCGGTATTATCGATGGAGGACATATACAGATTGACAAACCAAACCAAACTGTACTGATACATGGGATCAATATTGGCCAGTTCCACTGTGTAAAAATAAAGAAGGTTAGAGAGTGTTTACTTCGTTAACTAAAAGTTAGTTTACCTATGGTAAAGAACAGAATTGTAGAGTGTTCCGCTATGGGCACATAGCTGAGACGTGCCAAATCGATCTGTTTTTCGGTAGCCTCAGTAATAATCTGCTTCTCGCTAATATCATTGGCCAGAGCTTTGGCTGAGCTCAATATTTGCACCGCAGTTTCATCCTCCAATATATTATCGGCCGAGGAGAGCACCTCCAATATCTGATCTTCAGTCTCTTTCAGCATACGCTTGTTCTCAGCGCCCTGTACAATGAGATTATTCTTTTCCGCCTCCAAATCAGGTCGTTCTCGCGCCACGGTTATGCCCAGCAATTGATCCTGTAAGCCCTGCGTGGTGATCATGAAATTCAATAAGGTCACCTTGACCGCCACCTCGGGCAAATAGTGGGGATTTCTTAGTTTAGTTGTCATATAGAACCTGTTACGGCAAATAAGGAAATCAATTTTATAATATGATTTGTTATGTTCAAAATTATATCACCTGAAGCTGTAATTATATTCAATAACCGAATCGCCCAGCTTAATGCACATGGTGCCGCCCTGTTTGAACAGTTGCTTCAGCAATATGGCCTCCAGTATGGGATCCAATTCCTCGCCAATATTTTCCAGCAACACGGGCAAACCAAATTGTATGGCATTCTCCAGCACCCGCGTATAATCCGCCTGATTCAAACGTATAACGCACAGCTTGTTGTTCTTCTCATAGTTCTTAATCCATTTATTGGCCTGTCCCTGCGGATCAATCATCAGCGGCCAGCGGCGGGCATTTCTATAAGGAGACGAAATAAATTAAATTATATACAACAGAGAGCTTAACAAGAAGAGAAAAAATATTGCTCTAGCATTGCGATTAAATTTCTCATCAAATTATTTAAATATTAAGCAAAAATAGAAGCAGCATTTGAAAACGTAAAATTGACTTTTAAGCAGCTTACATTTTCACTTTGTTTTGTAGTATTGGAATAGTTTTAAATTATATTTTGAGTGCGCAAAATAGCATAAGCTTTCAACATTTCATGGGCGTAAATAATGTTACGGAAAATATAAATATTATATTAAAAATAAAATAGTGAAAATGCCAGAAAAGTGGCATTAAATACATATCGAATATATAATCTACAGGTAAATATCTATATGTTATATGCCTATATAGGCAAATACAACAACAAGAAGAACAACGAGAAATGGGCTCCTGGCAACGCGCTGGCTGCAGCACATGACAAATTCACACCGAACACAAATTTGTTCATGCGAATGAATGAACATTTTTGTAAATTGAAAACTTGATGAATGAAAAATATTTGATGCAAAAACAAAAGAGCCAATTTCAAGCGCTCCCGCAGAGAGTATGAGTCCATGAAAAATGTCAGCGAATAAATGCGCATACAACATGCCAGACGAACAACTATACGTGTGTATATATATATATACATGAACATATATATGTTTCGAGCTGGACACAGACCAACACAATGTATCCTAGAATGCAGAAATAAATACGCAAGAGTGTCAAACTCGCGACTGAACGACTGACAAATATCCTACTTCGTTAGTGCACAAAGAACTTCAAATTGATTCTCAGCTTTTCCACAAGTCGTTTTTTTTTTAAACGGAGTGATTAAATTTGTAAAGTATCAAAGGGTAAGTAAATTAAAATGAAGCTAAGTAAATTCAGTTCGAAAACAAAGGAAAACTCTTGAAAAGTCCAAGTTTGAGCCCGGAATTACATTTAAGAATGGAATTTTTTCATGCAATCAGCCCACCTCTGATTTTTACATTCAAGAGGCAAACTAACCACTTTTCTGCAGTTCCATATATTTACAGGGTATTATAAAGTTTGTGGGAGCGAGCTCAGTAGGCAGTTAAAATGTGAAAAGTTACCAGAGTTCAAAAAACACCACAAGGAAGAACATTGAGAACGCCAAAGAGAAAAGCAAAACAATACGAAAAAAATGTGCAAAAAATTATTATAACAATGCAAATGCAATAAAAGGAGAAAAAAACAGAATTGACAACAAAAGGAATCTGTTGGTAAATCACAAAAATTCTACACAGCTGCGAGTGGGATTTCACTTGGTTCCTTTCAATTGAAATGAAAATATGTTTGCCTTAAAGCTACAAAAGCTCAAATCGAAACACTTTAAGATATTTTGGGCAAACCGTTGTGCTTGCCGCCTGCTTAATATGCAAATCTGCAAAAGGCAATTCTCTCTTGTATACAAATTAACATTATTTAATCAAACATTTATGCAAAGAGACATGACCCGAACCGGACCCACAATGAACGACTCCGCACCTGCTACCCCACATTAGCAATTTGCGAAGCGGACTACGCACCATCTGGGCGACATGTCGACCCAATAAAACAGTAAGGGCTAGAGAAAAAACTGGGGGTGCATGAAAGTGCTCCACTGGGATATACCCTGTGCAAAACTTTAAGAATCTATATAGGCCTACAATGAAATATTCCTAATATCTGCATACATTGATCGATTGCTGTGAAGTCTCTAGGCTCTAAACAAAGACTATTTAATATGTTTAAAGAGTACGTTATATACCAAACGATAAGGCTTTAAATTTAAAATATTTTATAAACTTTATGGTAAGAGAAGAAAGGTATCAAAACAGTCAAATATTCTCCATTGAACAACAAACTACAAGAGAAAATAGCTTTATATCTCCATCGATACGTATGTATATTTAAAACTTGGAGCTTATAATCGATATGTATCGATAATTATCGATCATTTAAAGTTTTTAAAATTGAAATTGAAAAATACTTATAATAATCGTCATGCATAGATACAGATTGACTCTGTGGATCCATCTGATAAAGAGTATATAGACTATCTTCTGTCAGTTACACATTTTGGCATAGCCTCATTATACCATTTCTATTCATTCTATAAAGGGTATTTAAAGACAAAAAACAAAAACGAAAAAAAATAATACAAATTCATTCGTCTTGTGTCCAACAGCTACAGGAGCAGCAGCTAGTAAATAGTGGCGTCTGAGCAAATCCCAACATCATTCATTTGCCATGTCCATGGGTAAAAATTAAACGTAATGCGCCCGGAGCGCACATTAATCAATTGCTTATCCTTTGTGCAACGCGGTGACTGTGGCTCACACCTCAGGTATTTTGGGCATGCTCCAAATTACTTTGAACACTCGGCAAGGCAGCAGCCAGGAATTTCCTTTATTAAATCGACATGCGACATGGAGTGGCATGTGGCATGTGGCATCGCGACGTATCGCCCTTTCGGTGGAAACTCACCAGATGCGTAATGCTCTAACACACGCATCAAACATGAAAATTCTTTGCCCTGCCGCCTCCCACTCCCCAATTATCAGCCCTTACGTTTTGGTACGTTTTTGTACCTTTAGCTAAAGCAACCACCAGCGAATGCGGTGCTCCTGTGCTCGGGCAACATGCGGGCGCCTCAAACAAACACACACAAATATACACACACACACAAGCACACACACACACCTAAGCACACACACAATCACGCGCAACACCCCAACCCTGCAGCATCCGGTAATGTTCTCACACTCGCCACGCCACGCTAAGCTGCATATCTTTAATTTTCTTAATATGCGTGAATTCTAACATTTTATGTTTTGTAATTAGAAACAAGAAAGAACAGTTAAATACGGTATGCCGAAATTTAATACCCTAGCGAAAACCATTAATCAAATTACGCTCGTGCCAGCTATATAATATAGGATTATAATCTAAACTGAGCTGCATAAGACTGTGGGCAGCTGGAAGGGTATTAAAATTTTGATTTTTGATAAGAATTTTTTAATAAGACAGTTTCGGGTACAAATCTCAAAATTTTACTTTAATAATCATTATCTTAACTAGAGTAATGAATAGTAAAGTTAAATGGATACCTATACTTTTTAACTATAATGATAATGATAAATGATAAGTTATAATACTAAGAAAAATAATAATAATAATGATGCTAATGCTAATTATAATGATAATAATAACAAATAATAATAATACTAATAATAATACTACTAATTATAATAATACCAATAAATAAAATAAATAAAAAATAATAATTTTAATGATAAATAAATAATATAATAATATTGTTATGATATTAAGCTAAGAATAATACTAATTACAATTACAAATAATAATAATTATAAGATTAAGTAATACTAATATTTGGTGTCTTGGTGTCACATACTTGGTGACAAAAGCAATATTATCCACAATAAGGGCATACTAAAAATGGAAAAATATGCGTCTGACAAGCGTTCAGCTCTAATTAGCGTATTAGGTTGTTTAATTGAACAAGTATATTGGCTGACTGAGCCACAGCTGTTGCTGCGCAGACTAATGAAAGTCTTCGCATAAAGCTTTCTGCATCGATTTGTCAGCTAATGACTTAATGGGACGGCATTCGCCTGGTTTTAGGTTGCTGCCTTTCACAGAAACTTTCTCTATTCCATTTTAATGCCCACATCCGTTTCAATTTAAAGATAAATTAATTTTACCTCAAATCCACCCATATTGACACCGCAGTTAACTTCATTTAAACTTTCAAAGCTTAGTTCTAAGTGGATAGAAAACAGAGAGAACACTCACTTCATCATGATGGCGCTCTCAACGGAAAATGCATCCGTGGGCAATCCGCATATATTCCAGAAACGTATCTCCACCGGTTCGCCCAAAACAATGGCCAGCTGAAAGTCCGCCGAGCAGGTAACTCCATAATCCAGACACTTCGCAACCCATTTACGAATTTGCGTAACACGAAAATCAATGGTGAATGGTCCCAAATAGGCAACGACACCTGACGAAATTAGCACATCACCCGTTACACTCTTAAAGCTCCCCTGCAGCATTTTGGCCGTTTCGGACCAACGCGTCCGCTCGCCGCCCAAGCCAGAGATGAGCTCCTGGGCACGCTGCAACTTCTTTGTACAAGCTTCATGCTCCGCTAAAAGAATCCTATAAAACAAAAACAATTTTAATATTAATTTACGGCAAAGAAAGGTGCGGTTCGCGGTTCACGAACCAGCTCATGAAACTGGCTTTCCATATTCTCGAACATTGCTTCTGGTTCAATGCTTGGTTTGTCGTATATTTTTTAAATTTAGTTTTAATTTACAAATGCCCGTTGTACTGAAAATATTTCAAGCCGTAAATATTTTCATATACTAGATGCGGGCTAAATTCAATCAATCCCAAAAGGGGTATTATATATATTTAATATTTGGAGCCAAAAATATTTTTATTTTGGCACTAAGTATTCTGTTAAGTCAAACTAAATACCAAACAAAATGTGGTTTTGTTCTGATTTCGGTTCCACTCTTTTTTACGGCTGAACCGGTTTACGTTTTGATTCTTAGTTCATAATCATGCAAGTATGTAATTTCTGGTTGGAACCAGTTCAGTTCAGAATATGTTATGGATGCAAACCCAAAAGAGTTGTGAGTGGGTCGGATAATAGGTTCAAGCCTTAGTTCGTAAAATATTTTTTTGAATTTTATATACCATTTCAGATTCAAAATTTGGTATTCCGCCCATGAACCGAAGAACTTGCTGCTACTCACCCATATTGCCGCAACTGTTCGTCGAGAATCTTTTGAATGGCCGCCAGATTCGCTTCGACGCGGGCCAGTTGGGCCAACTTCTCGTTGAGCAGTTTCATGGCCGCATTGTAGTCGGCCTCGGCTGCAGCCAAAGCAATTTTCTTGGGCGCCACAACCTTGGCAACGACATCGTATTTGGACAGAGCAATGACCCAGCGGCAGAGACCTTCACAGGCCGTGGACGCCATCTTGATCTTTTCGGGATCGAAGGCCTCATTAGTGAGAATGCGCTGTTGCAATTTCTTCATGACCTCTGGCGGTATGTTGTCCTTGTCAAAGTTGAGCAAACTGTCCAGGAACTTCATGTCGCTAAGCACACGCTTTGACGGACCCCAGTAATCCTCGACAGTGCCCACACCATTTGGATTTGGCACCTTTTCGGGTTTCACGTCCTTCAGAATGCAAACAGCTTCCATAACGATGCGCACACCAATTGGCGGACTCTTCATGGTCTTCACCACAGCAATATCAGCGGTAGTCAGTGTGTTCAAGGCAGATAAGGCGGCCTCCAGAATGGGCAACGCCTCACCCAATTTGGCATCGCATTCATCTTTGATCTCTTGGGCCACAGCTGCCTGCACCTTGGCCGCCTGCTCATCCTCTTTGACCATTTCACGCTGCTCAGCGGCAATTTTACTGTCCGCCGTCACCTTGGCCACCTGCTCGGCAACAATCTCAGATGCCTCCTTCAGCTTTGGCTCCAGCGCCTGCAACTGCTCCTGCATGACGGCCACCTGCTGTGCGGCAATATCCAGCTGCGAGATGCCCGTCAAATAACGATTCCGATTCATGGTTATATTGCTGTAAGGTTAGATATTATGAGACTTACAGTTTTATCGGAGTCGGCTCTCTAGTTTTTGACTCACTTTCTCTTTTGGCTAAGCAATGCCTTGAAGGTCTGTATCAATTCCAGATAGGATGTAGGCGTCACATAGTTATAGCGATGCAGTCGTAGGAAGAACTTGGTCGACAGCTCCTGGGTTGATGTATGGAACTCCATGCACATATCGATGGCTGTTTTGCGCTCCAGAGCAGTCAGCTCCTCTTCGGCCAGGAAACGTGTGGATACCGCGAGCAGAGCATCCTCCGGCCAGGGCTGGAACCAATCAATCGTACAACAATTGACAATCGAGGGGAATTTTCGTATACGATTACGCAGCGCATCGCCAATGGGCGACATGGCCAGCACAATATGCAGTTGATCCTTGCATGTCTGTATGAAAAATGAGCAGAGACCAAAGGGTAATTAGTACAAGTGGAATGTTAAGTTAAAATGGTATTTAATTATAGCTCCCACCGTAACGAAAAAGTTAAATAGGGCAACGGGACTGCCATCGGTTTGTACGGCCTTGTCGCGCTGTTTGTCGATTTGTGCCATCTTTTCGACCACCTCGATTTTCTCCTCGTTTGAGAACAGATTTGGCACCTCGCCGGAGTTTAACAGATTGTTGATATCCTCCAGAAAAGATTCGTCTTTGATCTAAAAGTCTTTAAGACATTAGCAAAATGCAAAACCCCAAAAGTGCAGTCTAATTCGACCCAGCTATGAAAGCTAAAGCGCCCACCTGAACGTCCGTAAAGAGGAAAACGCCGTGCATTTCAGAGGCACCAATTTTACGTAATATGGATTTGATATCCTCATGATACTCATACGGACCATACAATCGAGTTATTTCCACTTGAAAGAGCTCATAGTCGCATATATGCGAAGCCAAACGAGTCAAGCTCTGACGCCCGGAGCCGCCGACACCGATGAGCAGAGCATGACTACGTGGCTGCTTTATGATGCGACATATGCGCGATAAATGTTCGATTGCAAAGCGGAAAAGTACCAGATTCATTGGCTTCTTGGACATATTATTATATTCAACTAGATAGGCCTCCACAACGATGCGCAACTCCTCGACATCCTGCACCTCAACGTAATTCTTAGTATCCGCTTTCGGATTGGTAAAGTCGCAGTAGATCAACTGTCGGAAATCGGACTCTTCCAGTTTTTTGCCCTGACGCACAAAGCGTGCAAACAGACGCGACACATCGAGATTAAAGCATTCCTGCACAGTGCTGCATAGTTTCCCAAATAGCCAGGTACGATCACCGTCCTCAACCAAACGATCGCCGTAGACGCGCAAAACCTCATGCACCCACAGCCTACGCATCGAGTTCATGTCCTCCGTGGCCTCCGGCACCGAAAGCAGAACACCCTGTATAACACGCGAAAAATCACGCAAATTGAACAAATAATGCGATTTAGCTGGTGTCGGCAATAGATTTAGCTTGGCATCATTGTAAATGGACAATGTGGCACTGACAATCTCATCGATGCAAGGATCAAACTCCTTCGAGAAGCCGCTGTCATTAGTTTAAAGAAGTTGGATTAAGTTCAATAGTCAATTAAATACACCCAACTTACCGCGCATCCAAATGCCAGAGCACAATTTTGCTAAAGATGGTGGTCATAATCGCATCATTAAAGTCATCAATGGATACCACATTGAAGAAACGCTGAAAACGTGGCGTCACCGTATTGCCCGTCGCAGGCGGACCCATGGCGGTAATCATTTGCAAATCAATCAATTTCATGGGCACAATATTCTTGCGATCGTACCACATCATATGATCCAGCATCATGCGCAGCAATTCAATGGGCGGCTGGGCGCCATAGTTCTCCTTCAGTGGCATGGAAACATCATCTACAAAGATGACAAAGCGACTATTTAGAGGTGGCCCAAAGACGCCCTTGCGCCGCTTGTCCAGCTTGGACATGATTATGTCCTGCGTTTGATTAGCCGATGTTTGTGCCGAGAAACTGATCAACAGTGGCTTGTACACACTCAAATCCATTTTCTTTAGCATAAAATCTATCACATAGACACTCTTGCCGGTGCCCGTCGGTCCGACCAGCATCAGCGGCTTGCCATGTCGCACCAACAGATCCAGAACGGCTGCAATGCGCACGCTCTCATTCGTCTGTATGATAATCTGATTAACTGGTATGTCGCGTGGCAGCGGTGGTGCGGAATTGACATCATCCTGCCAGGGCTTCCATTTGCCCTTGCCCTCCTTTATGAAGCGATAGTCAAAGACCGAACCCTGTTTGGGTATGGGAAATATGAAAGGCTTGGACAGCGGCTCCACATATAAATCTTCTGTAACGCCATAGGCATCATATAGGTTCTGTGGAAAGGTCTTCTCCATAAGCGCACGAAAGACTATATTGAATTTCTCCCGGCTCTCGGCGGTCAGTGAACCGCCAAGTGACCAAATCGTTGAGAATAGAAAGATGCCCTCGGTTTGTGCGCGAAAATCCAAATCAGATATGTTTGCCACATATTTCTCATCACGGAAATCATCAATGAAGCACTCAAAGAAATTCATCAGACTAACCATCAGATTGGTGTCCGACGTGGGGGCAATTTCGCGCAAACCCTTTCGCACCACGTGCAATAGCAGCGGGCAGAAACGTGAAATCATCGATGAGATTAGCTGTTTGCTTACGCTGTGAAAAGCAACGGGCAGAGTATTCTTCCAGGAGGCCACCAGCGGCTCCCAGCCTAGCGAGCTAGGCTCCAAGTAGATCATGCCGCAACGCGAAACGGTAGCCGGTGAGGCCACCTCCAGATCCATAGGCTCAAATATGAGATTCGTGGTATTCGAGAGCTGTATAATCTCACCAGACATAAGGCACAATTTCTTATTATCATCCAGAACAGTGTTCATGTTCTCAATCCAAATGGCATCCACGGGCCCATCAAAGATTAGCCACTTGCGATCGGGCGTATCGGAGACGGCAAAGATGCGATAATTGACAGCCAAAATGCCATCGCTCCACTCATGGGAAACAGCATCGAATTGGCCGTAAAGCTGACCCATGGTTATGGCCTTCGGATTGATTATAGTGTATGTAGCACGATTCTCAGAGCCATTCTTATTCTCCATGCACTCCAGAGCCTCGGCAAGCACGCGGTAAGTTGTGCTCTTGCCGCCAAATGGATAACCCACCAGCATCAGACCATGACGCACCACAATCATCTCGTACAGCTACAGTGGAAGAGTATAATTAACGAATATATATACAGTATGATATAAAGTGCCAACCTGTTGCACCTTCTCCAGGACAAACGGTGTGCATTGTTTGTTCTGCCTGTCGCAGGCCAATTGCGTGCACTCATTGAAGAGCACATAGTCCGCCTCGGGCAGTGTGACGCCCGGAAACAGATCGGACGTAATGCCCTGGAATAGCGGTATATCCTGATTCAAGAACTTGGGCAAATTCACATCCTTAATGGAGCGCAACACCAATATATCCTCGTTCTCATCGCGATAGCGCAACTTCAAGGCGCCCGCCGCCTTCAGCACCGATTTGACAGCTCGCATACCATAATCATAATGGCACTGGGTACTCAGCTGCTCCGAGCACAGGCGATACGTGGCTACAATCTTGACAGAAAGCGGTTTGGCCGTTAGGAAACCATACGAGTAAAGTTCAATTTCGGAAATTAAAGCATAATCCGGCACCATCATAGCCACAGAGCGGAAGAGAGCCTAAGGGTAGAAACGTAAATATATATATTACAGTTTTGTTTTCGTAATAATTTACATAAGATATTTATGGATATTCAGTGTTAAAAGTACTCCAGCTCGTACAAATATTTGCAATTCAAAAAGCAAATGAGCTATATAAAGATTAAATAATTTTTAAATTTCCTATCTCTTATTAAATGAAAGCATATTAGTATGCGCTTAATTAATCCATATGAATTCTATTCACTACACTAAAATTTAAAGCTATTTTGTCTTTTTTTAAAGCTTTAGACTTACCTTTAGATTATCAGGCAACTCCGATCGTCCCGCGTAACCGGGATTCATTGTGATGAAGACCGCACAAGTGGGATCCAGCGTTAAGGTTGTGCCCTCAAACACCAATGTGGGTAAGCCCGAGTTAATGCCACGCTGTATGGTGAGAATCTGTTGTGCGACCACAGACAACACCTCCAGATCAATACGATTGAACTCATCGAAGCAGGACCAAGCGCCGCACGAGGCCAAACCCTTAAAGAACTTGCCCAGCGCCAGATAGTCCAAGCCGTCGGAGCAATTAAATACGACACATTGCTTGGCCACGGCCTTGGCCAAATCTTTTGTAGTCTCCGTTTTGCCAGTGCCAGCCGGACCCTCCGGAGCGCCGCCCAAATGCAAATTCAAGGCGGCAAACAGCGTGCGATAGCAACGATCTGTCAGCGGAGTGACCACCAGTCGTGTCGTATTACCCAGATACTCGTAACCATAGGGCAAGGAGCAGTTGATCATGCGCGTATCCAAGTTGTTCTCCTCCCAGTAATAGCGCAACTGGCATAGCCACTGAAAGTCCTGCAGGTCTTCCACCTCCTTGGCCACAATATCGGCAAGCACATCGCGTGCATGGACATCCAGTACCACCAAGGCGCCCAATGTTATGCGATTCTGTGTGTTAAGATCACCGCGCACCAGATCGACAATTTTCATAATTTGATTCATGCACTTTTGCAGATACTTGGCCAAATTCTCTTTGGGCGTTTCGCTGACAAAGCATTCGGTAATCTCCAGTGTCCAATAGGTCAACGATATGGACTGGACACACTGACCCGGCCATGTGAGTACCCAAATGCTGCGCTGCATCTTCATGTAGCTGTAGAAGGCTTCGGATATCTTTTGATGAACACTTTTCTTCATGTCGATTTCAAGCTCCAGCAGCCATTTTTCCACCTGGCCACGCGCCTTGGCCGTGGATATGATATCCGCCAGAATAACCTCTTCACGCTCCGAGGAACGCATGGCGATAACCTCCAATTCCTCGTTGAAGTTGAGCGTGCCAATGCCCTCGAAGCACTTCTTGAGATGCGGCTGTACGCGTGTGGGATCCTTTGTTTCGGACAGAATCTCGAGCAGTTCATCATTGGACAGGAAGAAGAAGCGAGGGAAGTATAAGCGCTTCTTCTCCAAATAAGCATTCAGACCCTTTTGGATTATCTCCAGCAGATAGTACGCCTTCTTCAGTTTGTCGTTCATCTTGTCAATTTGAACAACGGTCATCACACGCGGATCCGAGGCCACCTGCTTCATCAGCTCCTTCCAAATCTGTCAAAGTGCAAGAATAGACATTCAGTTAATTAACAGGTGAAAGCGTAAGCACATTAAACAAGCGGTTCGATACCGACAAGTATATACCCTGAAAACTCAGCTTAGAGCTTGCAATAAAATGCAACAAAATATGCTTAAGCAGTGTAAAGCTTGATATAGATTATGAAAGTTGCTCGATCGATACTTCCAATTGCCAATTTACTTATTTTTCATGTTAACAGGGTATACAAAAAACGCACCTTATCTACTGCACTGAAGCGACGTCCCTCCTCGGGCATTTGTTGCTGAATATCCGGACTGCTAAATATAGGCTCCAGATACATCCAGGTGGCCTGCACGCGCAGCCATTCGTCCAGAATTTCCTGCAGCAACATAAGCTTCGCCTCCCACTTGCTGCAAGTGCACAACCAGAATTAGAAAGAGATGTGGATGAGTGGGCGTGTGTTTGCCGTTTGCCTGGCATTGACAAGTGCTGAACAAACGCTGGAAGTGTATACTCACAGTATGTCCGCCTCGAATGGTTTGATGTAGGGTGAGCTCTTCATTGTCTGCGTCTTGATGATTTGATCGTCCAGCATTATCTGTATGTCATCCACGGCAGACAGCTTGTAGGTACCAGAATCCCTGCGGAAGACATTTCAATTAGGCGGGAGCCATGGATGTGGCTACATGGACATACCTGTATGGCGATATGGAGAACTCGACGCCCTCCCATTCGTTGGCCATTTTGACCATGGCCTTTTCGAGATTGTTCTCCTTGGTGGCGCTCTCAGAAATAGCCTCAAATTTGGGTACATACTCATCCAGCTGATATTCGATAATCTTCTCCAGCGTCAGCTCGGGCGACACCTTGATTGGGAAGCCAATTATTTCGGAAACTTGTTCCCAATGGCGCGCCTTCATGCCCGGATTGCCCAGGGTGTTAATGATAGGCATATGTCCGCGGAACAGCTCAATTTGCTCCTTCACATCCAATATGAGCTGCATGGTGATGGGATGCTCGCCCATAATCTTCTCCAGCTTCTGTATGATGCGATAAAAGTTGGCCACATCCTGATCAATCGCATCCGGATCAAAGGAACCGACTTGCGAGTACATCCACAGCTCCCACTTGTCAATAAAGTCCTGACCGGCATCAAATAGATTTTTATATGGCTTTAACTGATCGTGCGCCTTCTTTCGCACCGGATATTGCGACAGATCCCAGCCGTAGGCTGTCTCCTCCTCATTTATCTGATCGATGGTCTCCATAGCATTGACCAGCCGCTGATCCAGCAAACCGGCACGTTTCTTATACTTGGACAGCTGTTTGATGTCGCCCCAAGTATCGTAGAGCTGGACCTGGTCGTAATAGTTTTGCAGCTCGCGACGGAACATCTCGATGCGCTTCTTGAGCAGCTCCTGGTATTCGATCATCTTTTCGGCAATGATTAGGCGATGTTGATCAAACACCGAGGCCAGTTTCAAATACCATTGAAAGGTGTTGCTATTATTCTTAATCTCCAGCGGCGAGTAGAGTGTCTGATCCATTAGCCATAGTATTTCATTCATGTTGATCTTCAGGCGCGCCTCCATTTCCGGCACTAGATTCTCCTCGGCATGCACCACATATGCCTTCAGCTCCATTAGTTCGGCCGTGTCCTTGGGCACGGTTAACGCCTTCTTCGCAATCATATCGTACTCCTTGCCCAGCCGCGAGATACGTGACTGCTGATCGGCCACCATGCGAGCTAGCAGATCCGTTTGCAATTGCCTGGCCAATTGCTCTAGATGAGTGATGAAACTGTCCCGATGAAACTCATAGAGGCCCATGCGTATAATGCCCCACACCTCTTTCGCAATGCGATCTTCCTTCTCCCTGTACTCGTAAACCATTTCCGTATACTGCTCAAACGAGGCGTCGCCCTCCATGAAGCGGCCACAGCGTTCCGAATCTACGCTATTGATCAGATCAATAAATGCGTCAAAGTCCTGTAAACGCAGCTCTGGTCCAATGCGCTGTTCCTCAAGCATCATGCATATCCTGTTCTTTGTATCGGCCACAATGCTATCCGGCACAGTGGGCGTCAGAAAGAGCTTCTTGGAGATCTTGAGATCCGTGTACAGTTTACCCTCGATGCGTGGCAACATCTGCACAGAATGCACAATCGAATCAATGACGCGCAACAGTTCGCTTTGTATTTTCGAGAAGCCCGGATTAAATGTAATCGTATCCTCATCGGCCAATATACAGGAGATTTCAAAGCCGGGATTCGATTTCTGTATAAATGATCAATTTTATAATTGATTTTCTTTAATTATAACTCTCTTACTTACACCAAAGTCGCAAACATAATCGGCGAATGCTTTGAGGCTGCGTATGCAAATATCCTCCAGTTGTTGGGTCATCAAAGCGGCAACACAATTGAAGAAGCGCTTGACCAATGTCATGCGACGTATATCCGGCAATTGTCCACGTTTACTGGCCCTGAGCAGTGTCGTGTGTATCTCACCATACCAGACATCCTCCAACATGTTCTTCCCGTTGTCTATATGGGACCCACACAGATACTGGCAGTGAAAGAAACAGAAACCGAAGCTTGGAAACTTTCAGAGCAGAATTAGAGGTAAATGCACTCACGACAAAATTGAATAGGGTGAACGGCTCTTCGACCTTGCTAAGTTCCTCGATATTGACCAGGGTCTTGGAGCTGTACTTCATGCTCCATACTTCCAGAATGCTGGCAACGCTTCGATGGATAGAAAAAAGTGTCGTCTTGAGGCGATTGCGATTCTCATCGTAACTAGAAATAGGAAAACAGAGTTATTTTAAATTCTAGCATGTATATAAATATTAACTCTGATTTAGTTTTAGTTTATCAATGCATTTAGTTTTTATTTCATTTACCATAAACCGAACCCTAAGCTGGATAAACTGGATAAAGTGAGATCAAACCTTAACCAGAACCGATCCAAAAGTTGTGTTTTTCGCTCTTGGCGTAAATCGGGATCCGAACCATCGCAAATGTTTCTTGGTTTTGCAGAATTGGTTTATACAAATCTTATAATAGTGAGCTTATATGGAAAAAAATATATAATAATACAAGTACGAAGGCATTTAAGTATATATATATATATTATGTGTGTGTGTGTATGTGTATGTATGGGCGTGTGTGTGTATGCATATATGTGTAAACGCTAACTAAACCAAACCAAACGCAGAACAAGCTTATTTGACGTTGTTTTGCAAATTTAAATAAAACGAATTTCTACTATGTGCTCTCCTCCTCGATTCTCAAGAATTCAAGTGGGCTCTGCAGTTTTTCATGGCTGAGCTAGTAGTGTGGTGTTTTTTTTTTGTTGTTTTTTTTGATTGTTTTTTTTATTGTTTTTTTTTTTCAATGTTTTATTTAATTTTATTTTTTTATATTGTTTTTTTGTTCTTGCTTTTTGTTGTTGTTTTTTTGTATGCGTGTACATTTTTGTACATACATATGTACATATATGAAAATACATATGAATGTTTCTATGTATGTATGTAGGTATGTATGTATGTATATGTATGTATGCATATGTATGTATGTATATGTATGTATGTATATGTATGTATGTATATGTATGTATGTATATGTATGTATGTACATGTATGTATTTATGTATGTATGTATATATGTATGTATGTATATGTGTATGTATGTATGTATGTATGTATGTATGTATGTGTCAGTATGTATGTATGTATGTATGTATGTCAGTATGTATGTATGTATGTATGTATGTATGAATGTATGCATGCATGCATGCATGTATGTGTGTATGTATGTCTGTATGTATGTATGTGTGTATGTATATATGTACATATGTATGAATATATTTATATATGTATTAAATATGTACATATGTATGCATGTTTGCATATATACAAATAAACATGTGTACATATATATACAAACATGCATACATGTTAAGGCAGAGACATGCACACAAACATATATGTATGCATGCATGCATATATGTGTATGTATGTATGCATGCCCGTATGTAGGAATACGGACATGTATTCATACATGTACGCATGCATGCATGTATGCATATATACAAAATAAACATGCATGCATGTCGGTACAAACAGGCATACATATGGTATTTATGCAAATTTAAAAATTAGCCCAAAAAATCTGTGAATCACATTTCTACCGGGGAAGCTTGGTTTTTTCCGAATAGTGTGAAACACTATTATATACCCTATATCAAATCGGCTGCCGACTCGCTTAACGGCAACTAAATATACTTTGCGAAATTCTCATTCTTACTTAGGCTAACGCATAGGTTGCCTCAAAATAATAAAACTAAGCGAAAACGTTTATAATTATCAAAATAATAATATAATACCCACTGCTAGGGTATAAGAAATAGCAAAAGTTTGCCATTCAGGCGTTTCGTTTATGCAAATGATGTTGAGAACGCGAAAAGTTTTCACTTGAGCTACTTTAACACGGCCCATTAGGCAATGCATTGGTGCAAAGCCGACTACGCCTAACTCGGCCTACATTTTAATGAAGCCAAAATGCTTTTGGCTATAAATTAGAAGAGCTTCCCCCCCTCCCCTCTCCCCCACACAAACTCGTTTATCGATGGGCGAACCGCAAAACAAACTTTTAGCATAGCACAGCTCTCCCACTGGCCACGCCCCGCACCGCCCATCAGCTTGGCAGTCGGTATCAGCAGCAAGCTCAATTCATTTTTAAGCATATCCTTTTTTCAGCTTTATACTGTTGCTTATCAAATGTCAAACCAATACACAGGAGAACTTAACTTCTCAGCTTTTTGCCACGCCTCTTCTAGAACATTACCCCCGTTCCCGCCCATACCTATTGCTGCCCCCCCTGTGCCTGCTGCTTTTCCATTTCCGCAGGAGCAGCCATTGTAGTGCGGTTAAAAAGTTTTTGGCACGACCCAAAGCGATTTCTCGCGTTCCCCATTGCAGTCAGCTCTTAACAAGTTATTCAGTCATATATATATATATATATATATACTATAGAGAAGACTTATTGTCAAGTTATTTCATCAAATTTTGCGCCACAACGACTCATTTTAAATGAAGAAGTTCTTTTTGCAAAAATTTTCCACGAAGCTTACTCGCATGTGAATGGCTGTGTGTGTGTGGGTGTGTGGGTGTGTGTGTGGGTGTGGGTGAGGGTGTGTGTGCGTGTGGGTGTAATTGCATGTCAATTGCATGCCAGAAAGCAACAGAAATTTCCTTTCAATTCAGAAAACTTTATAACGACTAAGGGTTTTTCAATTAACATGCAATGCGATCCACAATTGGGATTTAAGTTACAAATTAATGAAGAAATATTAAAAATATTAGATACCTAAAAGACACGTTAGAAAATTCAAGATTCGGAAGGGAAAGTACATGGTACTTTTGCAAAAAGATGAAAAAATGAACTAATCTGTAGGTAAGACCATGAACAAAATGTGTTAAATCGTGAAATGGAAAATCTGTCTAAAAAGGACACTTCGTAGGCAATCATGAACCTCCTACCCGAAGGTGACAAGTGGGTAGATATGCACTTTTGTTGTTTTCACACGACCTGAACTATGCCAATGGCTACTACACTATAAGTATCTGTGCTAACTTACCGATAGCGCCAATGGCTCATCAACTTTCCAATTTCCCGACGTTCTGCCGTTTCAAATGTAGCTGGTATACCCTCGTGGGTCAGTCTGTCCAGTACCGAGTGGCGTAGAACAAAATCTACAACAGCCTTCTTCATGGCAAACACAAAATCGGAACGCACCTCGGCAATGTTCTCGACAAATGCTGAATCCCATTTTTTTAATAGGGCCGGCACTAGATTATCAATCCTGCAATGAAGGGCTTGAATTGGTTTTATGTAGAAATGGTCAGGGTCTCACCTCTTGAGGGTCTTTTTGCTGATGGTGGACACATGAATGGTGTCAATGCCATGCTTAATGTAGTAATAATATCGTAAGACTTCGCGTTCGTTTTGATCGGGAAAGGTATCTGACTTCTCGGCTGTGGGATCTGGATCATCTTCCATGTGCAATATCAGCTCGACCAGCTTGGCACGGAAATGCTCACGCTCCTGCCGCATGACCATATAATTTGATGATCCCTTACTCCTGTACTCACCATCGTCTGGTTTATCGGGTTGCCGCCGACGCGTTCGCGACTTTGTACAGGTGAAACTTTCGGGCACATCCGATAGCATTTGGCCATCAAACAGATGACTAGCGCATTCTGGCATATTGAGTTCATACCACAACCGACGCGATTTATATTCCGAATTCGCCTTGGATTGCAATATGCTTTGAAGTACATCCGGTTTGGGGCGCGTGTATAACATCTTGGATTTGCTGCAGATGCGGTGAGAGCCGCAAACAGACGTAAAACTGGGTATATTCCTATTGGGGTTTTGCTTATCCATCTTGCGCTGCTCGTTAACTGGCTGTTTTTAAAGTTGGCGCGCAATAATGGCTAAGTGGCAGCACTGGTCAAAAATATATATCGAGAATAAATATTTTTAGTGATGCTTTCGATTCATCGAAAGCAGCACAGATGCTTGATGTGTCAAATCGATAGGTTAGTAAAAGCCGGCCCATACGTTGTGTCCGAAAATGTACTAAAAAATACCAAATAACAAATTAATAAAATTAAATACGGGAAACAAGTATTGCACAAGCAAAACAGCATCCAAAGAAATCAACTTACGTTTATTAGTTATTGTTTAATAACGCGCCGCAACGCGTTAACTTTGACTTTGTTACTATTTCGGGGGCACAGCCGGTGTCCGAACATACCAACGAGTTGAAAACAAATGCAAATTACAGGCACTTACATATAAATTGAGATTGATTTAACAAACTCAGTAGCAAACAAATCAACGTCGCCCTTGGCAGCAGGCTAAGCGCAACAAGTAACCATTATACATTTTAAACCTAGAACCCATTAGGCACACAAACTGTAAACATATAAATTTGTAAAAAAAAAAAAAAAAAACCAAAAAAAAATGTTACTACAAAAATTTTGTGCCCGCGCTCTGCACACCACGCGCCAACTGTGCAGCGCTGGCGCTGGCCTCGAGAAGAGCGCGTTGTCTACGCTGCGCAAGAAGACCGGCTACACATTCGCCAACTGCAAAAAGGCGCTCGAATTGCATAACAACGATGTCAAGCAGGTGAGAGCTGGGAGCCCACGCGAATTGAAAGCCTTACTAACTTCATTCTACAGGCAGAGAAATGGCTGCACGAACAGGCGCAATCACTTGGCTGGTCCAAGGCCACCAAATTGTCGGATCGCATCACAACACAGGGCCTGGTCGGCGTCCTGGTAAGCGGCAATCGTGGTGCCATGGTGGAACTCAACTGTGAAACGGACTTTGTGGCACGCAATGATACCTTCAAGCGTTTTGTCGATCACGTGTCACGCATTGTTCTGCACTATACGGATCTCACCGAGTTCGATGGTGATCTATGGAAGGTAACGAGGGCAGCACAAAAGATAATCTACCGCTTCGGCACACCGAAGATTAAATAGCCTTGCAAATGCAATGCATTCCATAGGATCTGTATGATATATCAGTACGATGTTGAAAAGAATTTGTAATTTAGACATGATTTAGATATCGACGACACTTTCTATAGAGCTATATGATATAGTGGACCGATCTTAATATGGCACATAGCAAAGCTTATTAGTGCCAAGTTTGATTAAGACATCTTGACGTTCCCCTAAGTACTATGATATACTTATCGCAATCCGATCGGCTCGGACATATATACTGCCTGCATACAAAAGGCTTCTAAGCCATATCTCATCTAAAAGCTTTAAAAATGAGAGACAGACCAACATGACTATATCCCCCCTGTCCGTTGCTATTGATCAGCAGTGTATATACTTTGTGAAGGTCGGAGCAGTCATTTGCAAGCGTATAGTATAAATATCTTGGCTTAACGATTAATGCATCTATCTATATCTAATTTGTGCAGCTTGGTTTCGACTCGGATGCCCTAAGGAATCTAGAGACGCCGCAGGGCGGTTCTCTAGCCGATCATTTGGCGTTGCTCATTGGCGCGATGGGCGAAAATGCCAGCATTAGGCGCGCTCTCTGCTTCAAGGTCAACAACGATTTGCGGCTAGCGGGTTATGCGCATCCGGCGCCCACCAACGTTAGCACCACACAAAATATAACACAAGTGGGCAAATATGGAGCTATTGTCGCGTTTCGTTCCCAGCTAGAGATCGATGATCCGGAAGTCCAGAAGGGTATATGCCAGCAAATTGTGGGCATGAAGCCAATCAAAATAGGCGAATACGACAAGGACATGCCGGCAGAGAACAAAGACGATGAAACGTGTCTCATCCATCAGGAGTATCTGCTGGATGCCGATAAGACGGTTGGTGAAGTGCTCAGAGATAATGGCATCAGCATTATTGACTATCATCGTTTCGAATGCGGGGAACAAACGCAGCGCGACCTCAAAGAGATTATGCGTGCCCAGCAGCAGAACAGCAACTAAACCAGATCCTGGACGTAGTATACAAATTTGTTGTACATCTTTTCTGTTAATTCCCATATACTGGCCCAAACTAACGAAATTCGGAAGAACAAAAAAAAAAAAACATTAAAATAAACCCCAGGTGCCTTTCAATTGCATGCGTCATGCCCCCGAAACGGAGAGCTAGCATGAATGCGGGAAGCACGCTTGAGCGCCTCCGCTGCCGGTGGCGACTCTCAAAGAATGGGCTTGTTTATGAATCGAGTTTTGTTCTGCTGCCGGTAATTACCCGCACGACACACTCGCCCTCCCCCCAACCAAATAAGATATGCGGAAACACAGGTGGTTAGTGTAACAGAACCTCTCGCTCAGTATATGCCATGTGAGAGTTACCCTTCCGTTTGGTTCGGTGCCCTTTTTTTTTTTTTAATTAACCCTACATCCTTTACATACAAATACACAGATTTAGATTAAATGTTGCACCCGCTCAACAAGTTATCCCAGAGAGCGAGATCGGACTCGAGTCAAAGGCTTGTGCATGGGTCTAATGGTCCCTAGTAGCCATCTGTCAATGTTTTGTAACCAAATCCTGCACTAGTATGATTCTTAATTGGATTGGAAGTTAAAAATAATGTTAAATCAAATATATTTTTATAGAACCAAATACAGCGATCGCCCAAAGCCTTCAAGTTAATTTGAGTTGGAATATATAATTTTATATATAATATTTTTTAGGAAAAATGTATAAAGTAATGCGTTATATACAGTTGGCTTTAAGACTGAGAATTGGTTTGGAAAAATCGTCTTACCAGAGTAGTCTATGCCTGGAATAGTTGCTAGGCCTGTTAACTGATCTGTCAGCGAGACGCTTGACTTATTTGTCAATCCTAATTGTACAAAAGCTTAAAAAATGGACTATTTGGATCTGGACTCATTTCGCTCCAGATATAGCGACATAACGGTAACTGCCGTGCCCGCCAAGCGACAGAAGACGGACGGACAAGATGAGCCGCCAGAAGTATGGGAAGCAGCTGGGTCCTCGGAGAAAACGCCGGCAGCACGCGTGGAAATCATTCCCATAACACTACCGAATGGCGCTGCTCCAACCGAGCAGTGCAGCAAGCCAATGCAGCAGCAGCAGCAGCATCAACAAAAACAACAACAGCAACAGTTCACACAGGATGCCGTGGCCTACTCCAATGAGTACCAGCAGGTGCTGGCCAAACTGGAGTACACCAAGTACGTGCAGGCACAGCTGCAACTAATGTCTAGCAACAATGCGCTGGGCGCATGCGCATTTGGCGAACTGCTCTATGGTTTGCCTGGCTCCAATATGCAACTACCCAGCGCCGAATCGAATGGCACGACCAACATTGTGGACACCTATGACAATCTGCTGGCCGTCATTGGGGAAATGCAAAGCAATTTGGGGCCTACGGCGATTGGTTTGCGTGCGCCAAAGGAGCGACTCTTACGTGATATTGCCCATGCACGTGTCCTGGTGCGCGAGTGCATTCTGATGCTGATGCGCGACCATCAGCAGCAGCAGCAGTCGTGTGAGGAGTGACGTCAGCACTTGACGTGTTAATTGCACGACTTGGCTTTCAATGAAGCGCAATAAAAAGAACAATAACAAACTAAAACAAAATGCGTCCAGTTCGAAGAACTCACACATGCACACAAACACACACACATGGGTATATTAACACTTACCTCTCGCTTACACATGAATGTGCAATGTGGTGGTCACACTGTTGGTTAACACTCCAACAACAACAAAAAAATGTCTGCCCAAAAGGGTCACGAAACTGAGTGACGCCAACGTCGGCGTCGACGCCGCAGCCACGCTCGCCTTGACATGCGACCGAGCCGCGCTTCAATTGAAGCCATCAGGTACGCTCAGTCGTAAGCCGACTGTTCACGGGTTAAGCCACTCTGCCGCTCACGCATTGGCAATTGTTCAAATTTTGTGATTTGTTGTGGCAGCAGCTGCCTTTTGTTTCCGTTCACAATTCGGGTTAATTTGTTTGGAAAGTGCGCAACAGTGCTTTTATTTCCGCTGCACACTTTTCGCAATAAATTATAAATTACGCAAAAAAACAAAACCAAATTATAAATAAACAGCACAAACGATAATTATACTAGCACACGCTGATCTTTACGCGCGCGACGCCACTTTTTTCTCCCGCTCTCTCTCTCTCTCTCTTTCTTTGAGCTTGCTTATTGTGTATGTGTGTGTGCAACGGTAAATTTGCGAAAAGCGAATTAGGAAAACAGAGCGACAATAACGCCGGCATTTGCGTTAGGTGGTGACAGCAAAAGGAGTGCGAAAAAATTAAAATTGTTTAATTTGTTGCTGTTGCTGTAATTGGACAGCGGCTTTTTTGCCAACGACAACAACAATAAATATAACAACAGCTGCAATAAAAGCAGCCAGGCTGCATTTGTCGCTTGCAGTTTTTCTTCATTTCGCTTTGTGCTTTGGATTTTTGCATGACAGCAGCAACAAAAACAACAACAGCAACAAAAGCAACAAATTAGTGCACAAAATGCCGCCGTTTAATTTCATTAAGCAGGTGAGTGTGAAAATAAAACTTAAAGCGTTTATTTATTGCATGTGTTAACAAAGCTATTAAATTGAACTATTTACATATGTGCATATGTATGTGCACACACTTCAGATCGGGCTACTATACAATAATGATTCCCCAGGAAGCAAAAGAACATAATTTTCAAGCGAAGAACTATTTCATTAAGATCCTAAGATCATAAATCATATATATATATAGTATGCATGTATGTCGTCAGGGTATGTCATCTTTGGCTCTTGGCAGATAACAGTTATTTCTTGTTTTGTATAAAAGTTTTATTGTTTTTCAGTTAGGGACAGAAGAAACGAGAAAGAAAGGCTATCTTCGGCACGCCGAAGACCCAATACCCTTACAGAGCACAGGGAAAATAGTTAATGCCGAGTTTGGTCAAGATATCTTGATAAACAAAAAAGGTTTTTAATCAAAAACCTAGTTTTCGACCGATCGCTCCTATGGCAGCTATATGGTATAGTGGTCCGATCCAGCTGGTTTTCACATATGTGCTGCATGCAACAGAAAGAGGGACTTCATTAAAATAGCTTTAAAACTGAGAGACAAGTTCGCATAGAAACAGACAGACGGACATGGCTCTATCGACTCGGCTGTTGATGCTGATCAAGAATATATATACTTTATGGGGTCGGAGATGTCTCCTTCTATGCGTTACACATTTCACGACAAAATTATAATACCCTCTGCAAGGGTATAAAAAGGGGTCACGTCTAAGCACTTAAAACACGCGTGTGTAGAAATTGTCTTTTCTGGATCACGACTTCTTTTACATTTGATATTTGATTAAACAATTTCTTAACCCATATCTCTACCGGAAGGTGTTACTGACAGTCACGAAGAGCCTAAGAGCGAGCCCAGTTGAACTTGTTTTTTAGGGAACACAAACTGTGATATACCCTAAAGTTCTCTGCTCTTTGATTTGGGAAAATATTGATATTAAAATATATTATATTAATCAGTGCGCATGCTCCTTGTGACTGAGGATGAGATGTATCTAAGTCTAGAAAGATATGTTAATCGAGGTTAAGTCAAGCGCCAGCTTACAAGACTATTTTATAAAAGAAAATTAAATACAATTGGTTATTATAGTACTGTATATTTCGTGGCTTTGACTAAGTTTTAAGCATAATAAGTACCGCTCCGCAAGCTGCGTATTCCTCGAACATTACGTTTAGATAACATATCAATAACTACTCTTTTTCCTCATGTTTCCGAGTGGGTTAATTAGAATATCAGAAGCTCCAATATCTCAAATGTGGAAAGGTAACATTACGTCAAGAACAACTACTCGACATATCTACATATCGTCTAAAACAAGAACGCGACAGACGTGTCTAATTGGCAACACCGAAAGACAGGCGTACGGGAATTGGAAATGAAATCGAACACTTCAAACTCCACGCAATTTGAATACTCGGCTCATATGGGGCGCTACGAAAATAGATTTATCTGAAATCAGCAAACACAGCTGGAAACGGAGATGCGGCTTCTGTAATTAAGCGTGTCTGCTGCCGAGAGATGCTCCGGGAGATAGCTTCCGGTGATTAAATATTCAAACAACAGAAAAATAAAAGAAAAGCGATCTATTTAAGAGTGCTCGACTAGAAGGTACCCTCTGTTCAGCTATTAGGGTCTACATCTCACACAAAGATTGAATTATTAAAATGGAAGGTCATCAAGATGATATTTAAATGACATACTAAAAATGACGGATATACATCTTAATTAATTATTTCTACATTGTATCCAAAAAGAAATATCATTGTATATTCTTTGAGAAACGAAATACTCCAGCACTAGAAATTGATATTGATCCATTTTGGGAACAATGGACGATTCGGTGAACCGGCTTTCCAAATTTATCTCAAGCCCTGAAAGCCTTCAAAGCACAGCCTGTGTATACCCCTATTACCCATTGCCATTGGCTGCAGGGTATACAATAGAAAACAGCAGAAGATGTAGATAAAATAGAATAGAACAAGATATCATAAAGGTGGGAATAATTTCTACGGGTACCTAGCACAGCGTCGAGCTTTCTACAACAACGAATTTCGTTTTGAGAAGACGCAAGATTGTTGTCTGCTCACAAATGCAAATGGACAATGTTTTAGAGGCTAGTTTCAGGGGTTGCGATTAGATTTAGTAGCCGGACCGGGCCTGGCCTAATGAATTTCCAAGACCATCAAAGCAGCAACATTTTGCTTTAATTTCGAGGCTTTTCTTTTTGTGGGCCGTGTGATAATTAAGATGAATGACCCAGCCCGAGAGAGTCCAAGACTGGAGTTTTTTTTTTTTTTGTTTAGAAAGTTATTGCACCATAACATTTAGACATAAATAGGCGTTCGCTCCCGATGCTGGGCCAACTGAATGCTGGCTGCTGGGTCTTTTATCTTGACGGTGTGCCCATATATTTGCATTTTTAGTATGGCCAGGTTAATTGCATGTTAAATAACTGTTAAATAACGGTTAGCGTACATCTGCAGCTGTCGGTTGTTATGGTTCAAGTCAAGCAATTGTTGTTCAACTTCTTGTGCAATTGCGCTTGGCTTTCTTTTCTAGCCAGCCAGACAGACAGTCAGACAGACAGACTGTCAGGCAGTCGGTTCGTTCGCTGGGCACCCACTGTAATAATGCTGAAATTATTTTGAACTTTGTCTTGTCTTCGCACCCACATCCAATGCTTTTATGTAGTTTTTATTTTTCGGCGTGGGAAGACGGCAGCCAACAGCCTCTTCGCGGCCTGTCTTAGGGTTTTTTTTTTGTTTCATTTTTATATTTTTCACGCTGCCAAAATTACGATCCACAGTGGGGCTCTACTAACGGTAGCTATCGAGCGCAGTGCCGCAAATCAATACAAATCAAATCAAATCAAGTCTATTTAACTGGTTTCGACTCACAGCTTTCAAAATAACATTGATTAATGATGGCTTTTGTTACATTCTATCAATGCTCATTAACAATTATCAATGCTTAACAAAAATGCATTTTGTTCATAATTGAGTTAAAACCTTTTATAGCTGTTGCATTTATAATTATTTTAAGCTGCTGGCATGGAAAATATTTGGTATCTAACGAATTTTATGTACACTTTGATTGAGTTAAGGCGCGCAGCTTTAGATGTTATTTTAGGGAATCGTATATAAGTAGTGTATTTTTCTATTATTTCTTAGAAAACGAAATGTAACAAACGTTTTTTATTGATTTGTTTGTTGATATTTCATGTTTACCAAGGAAATTTGTAATGATGTATGGGTAATTTATCCTCCATCTACGTCTGGGAAGATCTAGAAGCTGTAGGATTCCCTTAGTCGGGCACGCTCGTTTAGATTCCCTTGTTATTAAATGAATTTTACTGTAATATGTTTTACAAAATAATCACAATATATTTATTTTAATGGAAGTTCAAGAAATTTAGGAGGAAAACCCTGAATAGGGCATATGTAAAATAGAACAATATTTTTGATGCATTAAATGTATTCAATCTCTAGATTGAATCATCTTTCGATCATGACAAACGTGATGACATTTCCCGTGAGCTTCTTTATTTGTTTTTTTTTTCATCCAACTTACAGTAAAGAACATATTTCCATTTGTGTTAGAAACAGCTGGACAGCTGGTTATCTAGTCTAGTCTGGTCTGGTCTGGTCTTTGAAAAAGCGCTGGCAATTAACGTTCGGTCGCCAAAGAGAACGCTTTGAGAAATGACTTGATATTGGAATCGGGCTCACGCCGGCGACTGCAGCGCATGTTTGCCATATTTTAGCCATCTACAGCCTGGCCAACAGCTTTGCTGGCGATGGCTAATGAAAAGACGGCCAGAGAAGAGCTATCTGAGCTGGGCACAAAAAAAAATATACAGCAAATCGGCACAAACACCGCTAGCGGGGCCAAAGCAGTTGGAATACTACAAATCAAAGCGGTATATTGTAGACCCCCCCCCCCCCCCCCCCCATCTCTGGTCCTACTCCCAATCCCCTCTGAAAGTCTGGTTGTTGTTGTTGTTGTTGTTGTTG